GGAGGGATTGGGTTTGGGCCCCGTACCTTTCGGGGTTGAGGCCGGTGTTGAAGCCCCCCCGACCCGCAGGGGGCCACGGAGCCCGCCAGGAAGGGGGCCGGCCCACCGGCCTTCGGTCACCAGTTAGGCCGTCGGGAACAAACCTTGTCTCCGGTGCAGGGGACCCATTCATCGCAACGGTGCAGGCACCACGCCCGGATCGCACCGCGCCGCCGCTGCGCCGGCGGCAGCCGCGTCCCCCGCCGCCGCGTCCCCCGCCGCGGCCCCCTCGCCGGCCGCAGCTTGGCGCGTCGCGGTCCGCCAGCCGCACCAGCACCTGCGCGATGCTGGCCGGCCCCATCCACCGCCCGACCGGCAGCCCCTGCGCCTGGCCCTCGAGCGTGATCCGGTGGAGCGAATAGGGTGCGGCGAGGCAGTCGGCGAAGAGCGCCACCGTCGCCGCCTCGCGCCGCTCGAGCGACGCGCCCGCGCCGCCGCCGCCCGCGCTCAGCCGCAGCAGTGCTTGCGCGAGTATCATCTGCCCGCTGCGCATCATGCAGCCCCAGCCGGCGTCGCTCGTGAAGACCGTGCCCGGGATCGGCTCAAAGTGCTGCCGGTACGTGAACCAAAGGCACGCACGCACGCAGGCCTGCACCTCGGCGGTCGCCTCAGCAGAGGCCTCCACCACAGTCCCCAAGATGTGGATGGGCGAGTCGGGCTGCACGGCGTCGCTCGACTCGGGAAGGAAGCGCGCGAGCCGGTACGACGCCTCACGCGCAGCGGACCTGAGCCAGACCACGGTCGAGCTTTCCAACATGTCTACTCGGCCGCCCGCGCCGAACGAGCCCAGTCCCTTTCGGAAAACGAGAAACTGCGCACGACGCTAGGAAGATAGACGCCCCTGTGTCAGTGTGCCTGTGGGAGGAGAGACTGCCAGCGACAAGCTGGAGGCAGGTCGCTAGACTGAGATGAGACCGCCAGTGGATGTGGGAGTCCACCGCGCACCGCGCTGCGAGCCTGTCGTGTCCCTTGTCAGGAGCAGGAGAGCCCCACCTGTCCCCCTGATCGTCCTTCCAAAATCCTGCTCGTGCAGGTGGGGACCCTGTCCTCGTCCCATCCCTCGTTTGGCGTGTCTGTTTTCTTTCTTTCTTTTTACGCCCGAGGGTGGGCGAAGGATAGCACCGCACTTATCTCCTTAAAATCCCTGTGTGGTGGCGGCCCGTCCTCCCATCCCTCCCTTTTTTGGCTGTTTCCTTTCTTTACAAGATCCGTACGTGAAGGGTGGAGGGGCCCGTCCGCGGAACTATAACAATCTCGGAACTATAGGATCCCCCCCAATGAACACTCCCTCCACGGGGCTGTTGGCGCAGGGGGAGGTGTCAATCACGCTCCCGGGACGCCGGAGAGGTCGGGTTGGCCTCCCCCGCCTCAGCCCTGACCCGACGGGGACGCCACCACCCTCGCCCAGGGATCTACAATGCTGTCTTAAGGTCCGACAGGTTCGGCACCGGGCACCGCCTCGGTATACAAAATGCGCCTGCGGGCGGACCCCTACAGATCACAGATCACACCAGCGAGGGAGGGCGAGACGATCGAGGGGTCCCATACCATGCGGAATCGACCCTATCAAGTGCTCAAGTGCTCAAGGTAGGCGGCGCGGGCACCCCCGAGAGCCTCGGTGCCCCCGTTGTCATATTTCAGCGGCGCAAGGCTCTGGTCATAGAAAGTTGCCATCGTCCAGAGCGGCGGCGGCGATGGAGTTGATGGTGGCGAGAGCCGGGGTCCAGGCTGCTCCAGAGGAGGCAGCTGGACTGGCTCGAGGGCTGGCGGCGGCGGCGACAGAGGCAGCGGCGCGTCTGGAATTCTTCTTTCCCGGCCCCGAGCCACCACCACGCTGCCGCCACGCATGACCCTAACGCTGCTTCTCATGTTCGGCCTGAAGCAGCCAGCTTTGGGCCTCTCGCTGCCGCAGCACAGGCTGTGGGCCGGTTGTCGCTTTGCGTCGCTGTCGATGCTGGCCCGGCGCAGCCGCCGGCGAGGCCCCGCAGCGGTCCCACGGCCGCCGCGAGTGCTGCAGCGCAGCGATAGCGGCGTGCCGGAGATTGCCGCGTGCCATCCGGAGCAGTACGATAAGCTGCTGTCCAGCAAGGTGGCGAGCATGGTGCAGCTCGTCACCGGCGCTGTCGCCGCCGGGTCATCGTCGGCTTCCGAGCCGCAGACGACGGAGCTGCCCGCGATCGAGGTGTTCGAGTCGGCTCGGACGAACTTTCGCATGCGCGCCTCCTTCCAGATCTGGCGAGAGGGCGCGGGGCTGCACTACGTCATGTTCAACCGAGGAGACTCGCGCACGCCTCACGAGGTTCCCAGACCCTCGGCACAGCACCGACCCTCGGCACACTGCCTGGGCTCAGTGCCTCGCTCCCTCGCGCCTCGGCTCGACCCCGAAGGGCTGTGCACGGCGTCGTCACAGCCGGCGGTGTGTCGACAGGTGAGGACGTACCCGATGGGCTCTCCGAGGCTCAGCGAGCTGATGGGCCCGCTGATCGAGGGGCTGGCGGCGAGGGCGGAGCTGTGCCCAGCCGGGACGACGACGAGCTCCGTACGTGAGGGCTGGTGCGCGTCGACTAGGCGAGCGAGGAGCTGCGCGACAAGCTGAACGACGTGCGCCTCCTCACGACCTCCACGGGCGACGCGCTGGTCACGGTCACGTACAACCGGCCAATCGGCGGAGGCGCGTGGGAGGCGGCGGCGAGGGAGCTGGCGGAGGCGCTGGGCGTGTGCGTCGTCGGCCGGTCGCGCAAGGTAGTGACGTGCGTCGTCCGCTGGCGTGAGACAATGGAGGAAATTTAAGTTCCCCGCTTTACTCAGGTCAAGGTAGTGATCGGGTGCGAGACGGTGGAGGAGCGGCTGTCGGTGCCGGGCCGCGGCGAGTGCGTCTACTTGCAGACCGAAGGGGCCTTCACGCAGCCAAACGCGCAGGTGTGCAGCGCCATGCTGGGGTGGGCGGTTGACGCGACGCGCGGGCTCGACGGCTCCCGGAGCGAGCTCGACTGCGGCGACGGCCGGACAGGTGCGGGACACGGCCTCGACGCGTGCGATTAGGCTCCGACCTCTGCGAGCTCTACTGCGGCAACGGCTGCTTCACGGTCGCGCTCGCGCCAAACTTTCGGCGCGTCGCCGCGGCGCGGGGTCTCCCGAAGGCTGGGCATGTCCATGTCCGCGACGCGAGGCATGTCCCGCAGGCGGGTCGTCGCGACGGAGATCTCGAAGGCATCTGTCGCCCTCGCCGAGGCGAACCTCAAGGCCTGCAAGCCCCTCCTTCCCACCCTCCCCGCCACCCCGCCTCCCCGCCTCCCCGCCTCACCCTCCCCGCCCCCTCTCCCCCACCCCCTCTCCCCCGCCCCCTCTCCCCCACCCCTCTCCCCCGCCCCTCTCCCCCGCCCCTCTCCCCGCCCCTCTCCCCGCCCCTCTCCCCGCAGGCTAACGGCGTCTCAAACACGCGCGTCGCGCGTCTGTCTGCCGAGGAGTTTGTCGAGGCGCTCGCCGGGGGGCGCCCCTTCCGCCGGCTGGACGAGGCCGGCGTCGAGCTCGCCTCGTACGACAGGCTGCTGCGCCCCCTCCTCCCCCTCCTCGTCGGCCCGCCTAACTCGTTGAGCTAGTTCGTCCGTCTGTGAATGAAAGGCTGCACACGCTCCTCGTGGACCCGCCCCGCGCCGGTCTCGACCAGACGAGCCGCGCCCTCGCCGCAACCTTCGCGCGCGTCGTGTACGTCTCCTGCAACCCGGAGACGCTGGCGCGCGACCTCACGCAGCTGAGTGCGACGCACACCCTCACGCGGCTCGCCGCCTTCGACCAGTTCCCGTACACGCCTCACCTCGAGTGCGGCGTCGTCCTCGAGCGGCGGCCGGCACGGCCGGCGGCGGCCGGCGGCGGCGGCGCAGAGGACGAGACGCCAGCGCCTTCATCGGAGACGCCAGCGCTGCCCTGCGAGGCGGAGGCCGCGGCTCGCCACCTCAAGGTGGGCGGCGAGGCGGCGCGGCTCGAGGCGTTCGGCCCCGTCGTCGTGGGCGAGTCGGGGCAGCTCCGCTACATCGCCAACTGGGAGAGCATGAGCGAGGGGGAGAGGAGCGCGGCGCAGGAGCTCCTCGCGAAGCGCAACGCCGCGCGGCTGAAGAGGCTTCGCGGCGGCGCCTTCCGGGCTGCACCGCCCCGCCGCAGCGCGCTCGCCGCCGCCGCCGCCGCCGCCCTCCCCTCCAGGCCCCTGTGGGCAGCGGAGTGCGGCGGAGCGTCGCAGCGGGCATGCGGGGAGGGACCGCCAGAGGGGAGCGGGGAGGGGCGCGAGCCGTGGCAGAGGCAGCCTTGGGCCAAGCCCGCGTTCGCCGCCGTGGGACTCCTCTCCCTCTTCCACGGCCTTTTGCCCGCCCCGAAGCCGCCGCCGGCGCGAGGAGGAGGGCCGCGATCGCCGCCTCCTCGGCTCAGCCTCGACGAGCCGCCGCCGCGTGCGAGCCGGAGGGACGCCACTTCGACGACGGCTGCGCTCCTCTCGTGCGCGCTGCTCGCTCCCTCCATGCCGCGCGCCAGTAGTGCGGCAGAGTGCGACGAAGCGTGCGCGAGGCGCATCGCGGAGCGGCGCGCGCTCTTTGAGCAGTCGCGCACGACCGCCGACCGGAGCGTGATCCTCGAGCTCTCGCGGCAGCGGGCTGCCCTGTACAACACCACCTTTCGAGGTGCGTCGTGCGTCCCTGGGCTGCCGTGCTACTAGTCGGCTACTAGCCGGGGAGCGGGGCCGTCACCCGACACGGAGGTAAGCACTTAGCGCCGTCGCGGTCCACGTTGCCCCTCGGGTGTGGCCCTGCTAGCTGCTGCCACCCTGCTCCTGATTCGATCTCTGATCTCTCGTCTCGAACCGACATGTACGTCACGCATAAAATTCCGCCTGCGGCCTGGCTGCTGGGGGCGCTCACAGGACGACACTGCGACTGGTCAGTGCTCAAACTGGTCAGTCTCAGACTCAGACTCTCAGTGGTCACAGTGCTGCACGTCCCAGTGTTAGAAATATTCCTTAAAGTTCGAAACTACAAGAACAACTTACGTCAGTACGCGGTACGGCTCTACGAGACCCGCTCCCTTTTGGTGCCACGCTGAGCTACACTTCCGCCTGACCCTGCCTCGCCGCCTGCCGGGGACGCCACCACCGTGCCGCGAACTGCGCTCCTTGACTCCGCCTCGCCCCCGGCTGGCACCACGGTGGCGACCACATCCCCCCACTCGGCGGTGACCGTCACCTTCTCCCTCTCCGATTTCGTGCCGAGCACGAGCTGCAGCAGCATGCTGCAAAACCTCTCGGGCGAAGCGACGTGGACAGCGTGCGGCGCGCCCGGCAGCACTACCCACTGTGACCGGCGGGGGTCCTCTCGCGCGTTTCGGACGTCTCCGAACGCAAAGAATCGGTACTGCTGCTGGGCCGCGAGGCATTCGGACGGGAAGGCGTTGTCGAGCGCCCCCCACACGAGCAGCGTCGGAGGGCGACTCTTCCTCGGCGCGACGTCGCCAGAGCGGTCCAGCTGCGCGGCGAGCGAGAGGTAGCAGGAGACGTTGCGGTGGGTGGCGGGCGCGAGCACGTACGGCGTCGCAAAGCTGCCGCCGGCCGACGCCGCGACGATGGCGACTTTCCTGTCGCCCCAGCCGAGCGCCTCGAGCAGCCGCGCCACAAAGGTTCGCCGGTCGGAGGTCTCCGCCGCCGCCTCCGCGCCGACCGCCCGCTCGCTGATCTCGGGCAGCTCCGGCGCCACGGCCCTCACACCCCGCTCGGCGAGCCGGTCGAGGGCGCCGACGATCGCCCAAGTCTCCGGCTTGCTGCCGTAGCCGTGCAGCAGCAGCACGCGTCGCGCAGCCGCCGGCGGGCCGGCGACGAGCACCCGGACCGCCCTCCTCTCCCCTTGGACGCGCAACGCCTCCTCCTCGACGAGCCGCTTCCTCGCCTGCTGGCTCGCTGCGTACCGCCGTCCGAGCTCGGCCTCCGCCTCGCCGCCGTCGGAAGAGAGCTGGACCAGGCGCGAGCCGCGCAGCAGCCGCACGAACTGCAGCGCCGCGTGCCCGCGCCCGAAGCGCCGCGGCAGCCCCGCCGCCCGCGGCGCCTCGCCCGCCACGAAGCCGGCCGCCTCGCCCTCGAGGAGGAGCGCCACAAAGTCCTTGAGCACGGCTTCGCCACAGCCGGCGCGCGAGCACGGCAAGTACTCCGCCTCGACCACCGTCCCGCCGACGCTCGCGTTGAGGAAGAGGCCGCCGAGCCGCACGATGAAGTCGCCGAAGCGGAACTCGGCGCCCTCGGCCGTGATGCGCAGCCGCTGCGAGTGGGTCTCGCCGAGCGTGCTCTCGCCGAGGGTGCACGCCTCGACGCCGGCAAGGTCGCCGAGCCTCTCCTGCACCGTGCCGGCGCGGCAGACAAAGTACACCTCTGGCCTCTCGGAGTAATGGAGGACGCACACCTCCTCGAGCGGCGGCTCGAGCGGCGGCGTCGGCGCGATCTCAGCGGCGTCGGCGGACGGCGCTGCCGCCGCCACCTTCGGCTTGAAGTAGAGGCAGTGCGTGCGCCAGCGGCCGGCGCGAGTGCAGCCGATGGCGCTCAGCCGCGCCGAGAGCGCCGCCTCGCGGGCACCGGGGAGGTGGACGAGGGCGCAGACGCCCATATGTGTACACGTATGTACCTGGTGGCGATAGAGGCTCTGGTCAAGAGAGTGCCTAGGGGGCCCCCAAAGATCTCACTCCATCCCGGCCTGGCGGCATACCTCGGCACCCCCTTGCACACGGAATCTGAGCGTGAGGGAATCTGAGCGTGAGGGAATCTGAGCGTGAGGGAACCTGGGCAGTGCCGCGTAGTGCGGCGTGCGCGGACGTGCGCGGACGTGCGCGGGCGTGCGCGGGCGTGCGCGGGCGTGCGCGGGCGTGCGCGGGCGTGCGCGGGCGTGCGCGGGCGGGCGCGTAGTGCTGCGTAGTGCCGCGTAGTGCCGCGTGCGCGCACGTGCGCGCGCGTGCGTGCGCTGTGTGCGCGGGCGGGCGCGCGCGTGCGTGCGCGGCATGCGCGGCCAGGGCGCAGGCAAGTGCCTGAGGGTATGGGGGTGGGCGCCACCCTGGGGCTACCCATAGCATCGTCGGCTCAGTGATGGGTATCCTCTCTCTGTCTGGTGTCTGGTAAAGGACTGAAGGTCGCGGCTCGTGCGTCTTGGGCCCATGTGTTTCTGCTTGAAGGTCGCCCTTTCGCGCTCCGTCCTACCTCCTACGAGTAGCCTTCCGTGGGACTCGGCGTTGGCGTTGCATGTCACATTTGGCCCCAATGAAGGAGGAGAGCGGCCATAACAGGTGTTATGGCTGTTATGGCTGGCTGCTTATAACACCCCATAACACCCCATAACACCCCATAACACCTCCATCACTGTTAGTGTTATGGCTGTTATGCCCACCCTACCATAAGCATAACACCTCATAACACCTCATAACACCTCATAACACCTCATACAGTAACACTCATAACACCTTCCACTGGTTGTTATGACATTTTGATCGCCCAGTCCCACGATCTGCCCTTTTCATAAGCCTCACGCAAGCAGCAGTAGCACACACGGAGGGGGCGCACCGACGTCTTTGCTGAGCTAGGCGCCAAGATGGAGGGCGTCGTGCTGCTTTGTGTCAAAGCGGTATCCGAGACAGAGGCGTCAGACGCCATTGCCATCACCTACACACCCTCCTTGACGAACGCGTTCTCCTTCAGCCACGCGGCAAGCTGCGCGTCATCCATGTTTGATCCGGAAAGGAGTGCAGGGCATCAGCAACGCGGAAAGCAGCAACATCCATCGATCGCGCGAAGAGGACGTGCGCCTCTAACTACTAAAAAGCGGGAGCAGCCAGCTTCCACTTTTTAGAAACCTCGAGACATGTTGCACATGTACATGTGCATGCAGTGAAAGAAGGAAAGAAAAAGGACGTGAGTTAAATTGCGGGAAAGACAAGTACGAGTTAGAAACGGGAAGCAACTTGCGTGAAGGGGAGGGAAGGGGGGGTCTTGATTGAGCAATCTGAAGCCATCGCTCAGCCTCAGGAGGCAGGTTGATGTTATTGAATTTTACTTGAAAGAGAAAATATTTGGCGATCGATGCCGAACCTCGCGCGCGGCGGCAGCGCGCGAAGCGAAAATTCCAGCGGCGAGCAGTTCGGTGTGGCCTCTCGGGCCACATAACACCGTGGATCCGAGACGGCTCTCTCATAGCAGCCCATAACATGTTATGGGTGTTATGGGTGTTACAGGCCCCATAACACCCATAACACCCATAACATGTGATGGGCTATGCCCCGCGAGAGCCATAACACCATAACAATAACTGTGAGTGGGGCCACATGACTGTGGTCGATCTCTCAATCTCTGCCTGTCTGTCCCCTGTCCGTTCTCTCGGACTGTCCGTGCGTGTGATCAGTGTGTGAACTGATCTGGGGCCGGGCCGCGGCGGCGCGGGGTGTGTGGTTTGTGCGCGGCTTTCTCTCGGCTTCATCTTGTGCTGTGTGCAGAGGAGGTCCTTTACCTTTTGCGGGGGGTGTTCGGGTGAGGTGTCGCGGCCCGCAGGCGGCTGAGTCCACGGTCAGGGTGCCAGCCCCGGGCCCCCACCGTGTAAACGGGCAACCCCTGGGAGCCACACGACGTTAAACACACCATGTAAAAGCTCTCCGCGAGCTCTCTCGAAGTAACAGCTTACTTTTCGAAGTAACTTCGACGCTCAGAAGTTAGTTTTTTTGCGTACCCCTTGCGCCATGAACAACCGCTCGAAACGCTCAAATTTGGGCGTTCCGCGCTTCGCTTCAGCCTTCTAAGCCGGCACCGCGGCGGGCGGATAGATGCGATAAATGCGGCAAGACCACTTGTGCTGCCGGGTGGAACTGGAACTCCGATCACACCGAGAAGGCTTGCCATCGACGCAAGTGCATGCGGGCGGTCGGCCGTCTGCCACCACTCGCCAGCGATAAGGTTGCCGGGTCAACGGATGCAGCCTTGCTGGAGATTGAAGAGGTGCTCGGCATGCGCTACTGTGACCCGAGCCAGATGACTGCGGTGGCGCTGAGGAACCCTGTCGATGAAGACGACGAGCGCTTGGAGTACCTTGTCTCTGGCAGGTTTGGCAGTGGTCCCGACGACCGCGGCTTCCACTCTGTAGCTTGGGTCTTTGATGGCGATCTCCTGGACCATGTAGATGCGGAGGAGGCAAGTCAGCGATGCAAACGTACAAAAATCGGATGGACAAGGAGTTCGCAGCGCTGGCGGATGCGTGCGACGCTGAAATGTAGCCGTCCCGGCACCCCACGTGCATGCGTGTGATATTCGAGGGCTCAACCGGATCGTGAGCGTTGTGAGGCCGCAATCCCGTGCTTAGCGATAGGCAGGCACATCATGTGGGTACTCAGGATCACTCGTATGATAATGTCAGCACGTAGCTACGCTCGCGAGGGCGACCTAAGCACCTAAGCACCCTAAGCGCCCCCCCCGCTTAGGCCGCTTAGGTGCTTAGGCGGTCTCAGAGGTTGTGGGACCTGGGGCCCGCCGGGCCTGGGGCTGTCGGCTGAGCCACTCTCCGGCTGGTGGCTCTCTACGGAGCGTTTACACAATAGCTCGGCACCCTGACCGTGGACTCAGCCAGGCAGATTGTGAGGATCAGGGTGGGCGGAGCAGTACCTCACTTCCTTAATGGGTGAGCTTCAGAACTCCAGGGCCGTAAAGTAAACACAGGTCTCCAAGGGTTAGCCCCGCGTACCGCTCGGGCAAATTCGATTGCATTTTACCACTCGGGCAAACTCGATGAAACGGCGGACGGAAAACGCGTTCGCGGCCGCTCGCCGGAGAGCTATGCATGAAGCGGCCGGCGCGCCGCCGCAGCTCACCGATGGAACCTGCGCCGCGGCTCAATCCACTGACGCAGCAGCATTGCGACACATTCTCCAAGCACGGCCTCTGGCGTTGCGATTGCACAGAGAGCGAGCAATAGGCGACAAAAGCACTGATCTGTGTGCAGTGGATCTCCATGGCGGTCGGCCGGTCGCGCCCAGCGAGAGGACAACCGCGGGCCTCGGATGCTCGCCCGGATGCGAGCCCACCGCGCGAGTTGCAGACCCGGAGGGTGGCCGACCCAGCTCACCCCCAGAGAGGCCATGCCCAGGGTCAACCATAAAAGGGGGGTGTTTTTCCGTCCGTCCGTTTGTTCATCCTTGCTCCTTGGTTTATCTACCTGTGACTACTCAACCCAGGGTACCCTCTCCGAGGACCCATTTGGGTAGCTCTTTCGAGGACTCGCCGGGGCTCTGCTCCAAGAGACCTCGAGAGAGCGTGCGTGTGCCTCTACTCTCGCCAGGCGTTAAAAACTTAAAATGCTTGCATTTTTCAAAAAGTAAACCCTTGAAAATCGGGTCGCTCCTCATCGCAAACCCCGTCAGCAGTTCACCCTCGGGTACGTACTCTCTCCCTCGGGTATGTTCGTAAGAACCTCATACACTTGAACACCGAAGAGCGCGCCCGCCTTGCAAACATGGGCTGCAAGCAACGCGGGTTCCGTGGTCAACGGGCGTTCGACCACACCACCGGCCAAGGCTACGTCAAGTCACAGCGTGGCCACTACCATGATGGGATCTTCACCAAACGAAACAAGTTCAACCTGCTTCTCCACGAGACATTCGGCGGCGGCTTCTCGCCGCAAGCAGTTGCAAAGTAGATCAACCGCCTTGCGCGCAAAGCTCAACGCTCGGGCATTGACCGCACCGCGTACCCTCCCCACTCCCGCCTCTCATTTGTGTGTCACACCACGCGGAACACATCTCCATCGCTTCGGTGAAGGGGGTGAACCGTGCCATCCTCGATCGCCGTGCAAAGCTCGCTTCCGAGCTCTCACGCCGCGCGTAGGGCCCTTAGGGGCCTAGAGAACACAACCCCCTCTCTCTTTTCTCCCAGTAAGCTAAAAGTACGTACACTTTAGGCTGAATAGCAGCAGGCTCCGCGTCAGGGCCGTCTGCCCGCTGAAAGGGCAGCCGCGCATGAGATCCGGCAGATGCCCCTCCAGCTTGGCCCTGCGGAGGCATTCCTCGAAGAGCTCCCCTCCGTCTATGTTCCACTTCCACGCCGCCCCGGCCTCATCCTCCTCCGCCCCGCTCTCCGTCGCCGAGGCCCTGACCGCAACGCGATGGCACAATGCGCCGATGCGCTCGGTTCTCCATTCTCTGTGCCTCACCGCGTCGCGGCGGAGGCTGCGAGCGCCTCGTGTGTCAGCGGCCCCCGCGGCCGCCGCCACCACGTAGTCCTCGTTTTCCATGCGGCGGGCGCCCGGCAGCCAGCGGCAGCCGGCGGCAGATAGCAGCCAGCGGCAGCGAGAACGCAGTACCACGGCAATCACTGTCCCGCCAACTCGTACCCCCCCCCCCCAAATCTTCTGCACTCACTTCCTACATACATAGTTTTCGAAGCCGGAAGCCTCCATGACAGAAACACCGACAGAGACCGGCAGGGACAGCGACACACACGGTACGGTAGATACAAAGATCTCATGATGACGGAAAATGCGGTAATCTACACGTCCTCGTCCCCTTTCGCCTTGCTGCCGCCGGCGAGCTCCATAATCTGCCTCGCCCCCAGCCCGAGGGCGACGCGTGCCTCGGTGGAGGACAGCGGCTGGGAGCGGTGCGTCCTGCTCAGGATATAGGCAGCGGAGAGGACGGCGCCGAGCAGGGCGACGAAGAGCGCGCCGAACACGATCGCCAGCCAAAAGAGCAAGCCAGGCTGCCATGCGCCGCCGTCGCCGCCGCCCCTCTCGCGCGGATCTGCCGCGTCGGCCCCAGCCGGCGCGGCGCCCGCCGCGCCCATCGCCGGAGCGGGGAGGAGGTCGAGCGGCGGCGGCGCCGCCCGCCCGCCGGACGCCGCGGCGGAGGCCGCCAGCTGCTCGGAGGGGCGCCGGGCGGGCGCGTGGTCGACGGGCGCGAGGTCGCAGCACGGCGTGTACCGCGCGGTCTCGCTGGAGGGCGCCTGCGTCGAGGAGCGCAGGTAGACGTTGCGGATGCGGACGTAGTCGCCGCGCTGCTGCTGCTGGTGTGGGTGCGCGTAGTAAAGCTCGAGCCGGTCCATGTTGTCCCACGGCGTAAGGCGCGGGAACGAGTAGTGCCGGTCGCGGATGGGCAGCACGAGCGGTTGCCACGTGTGGGCGCGCCAGCCGCCGGCGGGCGGCGGCACGACGAAGGTGAGGCCCAGCTTGTTGTTGTCCTTTGTGTACTCAAAGGTGGCGAGCGCGTGCGACTCGTTGGAGACGTACACCTCGAGCTCGATCGAGGCGTTTGGCGTGACGCGCCCGTCCCAGCCGATGAGGGAGGAGACGTTGTACGTCTGTAGCTGCAGCTTGCGCTCGGGCCCGAACTGGCCGAGGATGCCGAAGCGGTTGGGCTGCAGGTCGAAGCGGCAGGTGCGCGTGAAGAGCGGCACGCACCGGTCGGAGCCCACCCGCATCCACCACAGCGAGCGGGGCGCCGCCGCGCTGCCGTCGGCGCTCTCCGCGAATGCGACGGCGCGGCGCGAGGCGCGGCGCTCCAGCAGGGCGGAGAGCGGAGAGTAGCGGTTGAGGAGGAGCGTCGAGGCGGCGGCGCACGCGGCGAGCTCGACGCTCGGCCACTCTGGCAGCCGGATGTCGAGGCCGAGCAGGGCGACGACGTCGCCGACGTGGCGGAACTCGGAGCGCAGCTCGTTGGAGGCGCGCTCGGCGAGCCGCTCGGGCAGCGCGCGCCCGCCGTCGGCGAGGATGAGGATCGGGTCGCGCGGCGGCAGGCGCGCGAGGTTGGCGCGCAGCACCGCCTCGCTCACGTGGCACGAGTAGCCTGCAGACGACAGCTCCTTGACCCACGCGCGGCCGGCGGGCTGGTGCGACTCGGCGTCGAAGGCGTCGCACGCGGTGCTAGGGAGGCGGAGCGTGTTCGGGGCGCCGCCGCTGTCCTGGGAGAGGTGCGGCACCGAGTGCGCGGCCGGCCCCGCCACGTCGACCACCTGGTGGACGTGCCGAGGACGCGTCGTGGACGTGTCATGGGCGTGGGGTGGCGCCACGCCACAACGGCCACCGCGTGTGGCGCGCTCGTGTCCGCCTCGTGCGCGTCGCCAAAGGAGGCCGAGTCGGGCGTCGGCGTGAGCGGCGCGCGCGACGAGACCACCGCCGCGTCGAGGTGCGAGAGGTGGATGCACGAGAAGGAGCCCGTCTCAGCGGCGAGCCGCGCGATGATGCGGCCCGCCTTGCGCGTCGCCTCCTCCGAGTCGGACGTGGACAAGGCGGCGGGCAGCTCGTCCGCAAACCAGGCGGCGAGCGGCGAGCCGGGCGGGAAGCCCTCAAAGGCGGCGTACAGGTGGGAGAAGGCGAGCACGGGGGCGCCGCAGCCGCCGTAGAGGCGGCGGTAGTCGGCGGCGGCGCACATCTGCGATGGCATGTGGATGGCGGAGAGGTTCGACCAGCCGGCGACGGCGTCGAAGTAGGCGCGCGAAGGGAGCAAGTGCGGGTCCTTGACGTGGAGGAAGAGGAGGCAGTCGGGCGCGAGGCGCAGCTGCAGAAAGTCGTCCACCTGCGGAGAGCGCCCGCTGTGTGCGCGCGGGGCTGCGGTGTGCCCAGCGGCTGCGAGGCCGGGCGGAGAGGGCGGTGTGTGTGTGTGTGTGTGGGTGGTATGTGTGTGTGTGTGTGTGTGTGTGTGTGTGTGTGTGTGTGTGTGTGTGTGTGTGTGTGTGTGTGTGTGTGTGTGTGTGTGTGTGTGTGTGTGGTGTGGGTGGGGGGGGGAGGGCCTCGAGCAGGGCGCCCGAGTAGCCCGCGAGCGTGCCCGCCGCCGCCATAGCGCGCCGCAGCGGCGCAAGGTCGAAGATGGCGGAGAAGCGCATGCGCGAGTCGAGCTTGCCGTCCCAAAGTATGTGAGGCACCACGAGGGTGCGGTGCAGCGCGGCGGCGATGCCGGCGGCGTTGCGCAGGGCGACAAAGTACTCGCCCAGCCCGGAGGGCGGCTGGAAGACTACGTACCGGCCGGAGAAGGGCTTGCTCGAGGCGGCGGACGCCGCCGCCGCGGCGGCCGCCGCCGCCGCCCTCGCCACCTCGGCCTCGGCAGCCGCAGCCTCCACGGCGAGCGGCGTCGAGGAGGGCGGGGCCGAGGAGGCGGCGAGGTTGAGGTTGGCGAGGTTGAGGTTCGCGGGCTGGAGGGCCTCGAGCGAGTGCGCGATGGAGCGCGGCACGAGGGCGGGCAGAACCTCGATGGCGCACGAGCCAACCGCCGGGTCGGCCGGCGAGGGCAGGCCTGCCCACAGGTCGGCGAGCGCGGCGTAGGCGGGCAGCAGCGCCGGGTTGCCCTCGGCGGCTGCGCGGTGGTGGCCCCACCACCGCACGCTCTCGGTGAAGGCGAAGCCCGCCTGGACAAGCCGCTCGGCCGAGCGCCGCTCGTGCTGCAGGTCGAAGACGCCGAGCCGTGCGAAGGAGGGGAGCTCCGCCATGGCGCGCTGCACGGCGTTGGTCTGCGAGGCGAGGACGAGCGGCACCGTCTTGAGCGGGTCCGTGTCGCGCCGCAGCGAGGTGGCCTGCGGCGGGGCGGGGAGAGATGCGGCAACACTAGGGGCGCTTCGGGCAGATCTCGCCCGGCCGTCGCCGCGGCTGCCTCTCGGCTGCCTCTCGGCTGCCATCTCGGCTGCCATCTCGGCTGCCTCTCGCGGCGATCCCTCGCCTGGATCGCCTCCTCGCGCCCGTCCTTTGCAGAGTGACCGCCCCGCTCCATAAAGGTGGTCGAGAAGGAGCGCTGCAGCCGCAGGTTCGGGTAGAGCATCGTGAGGCCGCGGCCGTACATGAAGTCGATGAGGAACCGCTTCCAGCTGCGAGGCCACACGTTGGAGCGCGAGGCGGGCAGCCGCACGTGCGGGTCGCCTACTCGCGCCAGCACCACCCGCGTGACGGACGGCTGCACAGAAGAGCCCTGGCTCCGTGCCGCGCGGCCCGCTCGCCGAGCGGCTCGCGGTGCTTGCCGACGCCTCGCTGCGCCGCCTCCTGCGCAAAGTCGAAGAAGGGCGGCCGCACGCGCAGCGCGTAAAACTTGAGGAAGTCGCGCCAGTGCGAGCCGAAGAAGAGGGCGCCCCACGAGCACGGCACCTGCGGCGGCGCCGGCCGGGAGGCGGGTGTCGAGAGGCGGTGGCACTGGCGGCGGCGGGGTGCGAGGGCGGGTGCGGGAGGGCAGCGGCAGGAGGGGTCGCGGCGCGGGCGGCAGGAGAGGCGCCCCCACCTGCAGCAGGAAGGCGGGCGCACGCTCGTGCACCTCCGGCAGCCACTTGACTTGCGGGTAATGAATCTCGTTGAGCCGCGGAGTGTAGAGCGAGATGCCGACGAGCCGCCGCCGCCGCATCAGCGTTCCGTCGCCGATCGGGCCGTAGGAGCGCGCCGCGCGCAGCAGCCACCAGTAGAAGAGCGGCGACACCTGAGGGGACGTGTCGTGGACGTGTCGTGGGCGTGTCGGGCGCTGTCCCTGCCGTCGCGAGCGGAGGCGCGGCACCTCGATGTCGTCCTCGAGCGGAAGGATGTGCTCGTCGTCGCGGAGCTCGCCGGCGGAAGCCAGGCTCGAGCAGTTGATCCACATCCCGCGGATCCCGAGCGACGCCACCGGCGCGGGGCCGTCGTCCGCAACCACCAGCCGCAAGGGCCCATGTCGCCACTCGACGCCGCGCACGTACTCTCGCACCGCCGCCAGCGCGCCGCCGTCGACCATGATCGTCAGCGGCATCGTGTGGCCACAGTACTCGGCGGCCAGCAGCGAGTCGACCAGCCGGCGCAGCGAGGCGAGTCGTCGCCACGCAAACACGAAGATGGCGATCTTTGGCCGCGGTGCGCCGACGGCAAACTCGGGCAGGTCGCACACCGAGTCGACCGACTCGATGCGCTCCTCGCCGTCGATCGAATGCGGCGGCGGCGTGTGCAGCGTCGAGCTCCCCTCGCCTGCCAGCAGCAGGCTGCCTTCCTGCTCGCCCTCACCCTCATCAGCGTCGGAGGAGAGCGCAGACGGCGCGGCGCTCTGGTCCTCGGGCCCGAGAAAGAAGAGGGAGAGCGAGAGGAGAAGAAGAAGGACGATGGCCAGACTCTGCTGCCTGGACTGCATCGAACGGTCGTCGCAGCGGCAAGGCAGCCGCGACGACCGGGTCCCGCGCTGAGGGTAAAGGGGCGCGCCGTTAAGGTCCAGGCGTCCCCTTCTCCTGCCTCTCGGGCCGCGCCTTCGCTGTGTCGGGGCGTCATGTCTTTCTTTTGCATGTCTTTCTTTTGTAAGCTGTCGCGCCGCCGTCTCAAGTGATGTGATTGCTGCCTGTGTTTGTTCGAAGGGGCGCTCACAAAGGTGAAACCCGCTCTGCTAGCACTTGCCACACACCCCGCGGGGGCCCTCAGCACCCCACTTCGTCACGCCTCGCGCTGTCGGTGGGGTCGCACCGGGCCTCCACAGGTTTCACGCGTTAACGGTTAACACCACAGCCCCTCGGGAGGTGTTGATGTACTAACTAGAGGTTGGGGATGCACTGCACCAGTGGCCAAGTTGCGCGGTACTGCACGCATGGGCACTGCCGTCAAAAACCATGACCTCCTGCGGTCCTGGATGGCCAGTGGTTGTGAGACCAGAGCTAAAAGATAGATTCAAAGAGCGGGTGAGCATACGCTCGAGACGCACTGTGGCCACGTAAACGGGCGGAGGGAGGGCAGCGGCCGGTCCAGCTGGCCTGACAGAGTGGAGCAGCTCGCCGGAAAGGGGTCGCGGCGGTTGCCGCGGCGCGAGCAGGCCACGCGCAGGCGCCGCCTCGCCGCTAGGCTTGCGGGGTTGTCGCGAACGGCAATGTTGCGAATGCTCGGCCACCTCCCGTGCTGGACGGTCTCGGTGAGCGAGTTCAGCCCCGCGTCTGTGATGGTGTCGCATGAGAGGTAGAGCGTCTCGAGGACAGGCAGGCCTCCGTTGAAGGCGGAGTCTGTCAGTGCCATCACCCCTTCATCGCCGACGTCGCTCTGCTCAAAGTCGAGATCGACGAGGCCTGACAGCGCGCCACTTGCGGCGGCATCTGCTAGCACTCGGACCCCCTCCACGCCGGCTCCATCCACCTCGAGCGAGCGGCAGGTCTCGAGGGCGCCGAGCCGCACGGAAGCGGCAAACACGCCGAGATCGTCACCGGTGGAGTGACCCATGTCGATTGAAACGTCTCGGCAGTCTGTGGTCACCTTGAATTTGTCGCTGAACACCTGGACTATCTCGGCCAAGTTCGAGCCGCCCGAGCGGTGGCTCCACGTCTGTCGTCCGGCACGGCACGCCCTTGCGAATGCGTACGCGCTGAACGGGGGTAGGCGCGAGGCGACGACGGAGAGGATCTCGTCTGGCAGCACGAGGTCGAGAGGGAGGGGTTGCTCCGGCTCCATCAAAGGAGTGAATGCTGTTGCTCCGGGAAACACCGCTGCAATTGTTTACCAAAGTATGGATATTTCGGCATTCGGGCGTCCTAAGGTGAATAATGCAAAACAAAAAAAGCGTGGATTCTATTTCACCCTCCATCACTGGTGTGGTCCTGAAAATCTCCGCAGCAGCCTCGCTGGGCCAGAACGTTGGCGGCCCGCGAGGTGGATGCTAGCATGAGCCCGATCCGTCGCAGTGCTCTTGCGTTACGGCGGTAGTGATCTAACCACCCGAATGCCACGTTCGGATCGCTCCTCATCGCAAACCCTGTCAGCAGTTCACCCCTCGGGTATGTTCGTAAGAGCTACATACACTAAAAATCGCAGTAAAATGGAAGGCAGGAAGGAAGGATACAAGAGGAGACGGAGGAAGGAGCAACGAGCGCCCTGGCGTGAACAAAGATCCTCTCCATCCGTAGATACTGATCACACACACGGGTGGGACAGTGGGTCGCAACGAAGCACGGGAGCGTGCTTGACAGAGCGACAGCGCAGCGCACTGACTCAGAAGTCGTTTTAAGTTCTGGCGGTGCTTTTGGCAACCAGCCAGCTGCGCCTTCATCATGACATGATCAGTTCTACTGAAGGCACCGGGGCCCAACGGATGGATGAATCCGGGGCACCCTCCACTCGAAACCCAGGCTTTGGGGTTCGAGGTGGGCCCCCACCCAGGGGCCGCCCATCGGAAAGCGGGACTGCGGCAGAAGACGCCCAATCCGTTGCTGCGCAAGAACCATACAATCCCCAGGGCCTCCAGGGCTCGCTCGCACCTCAACCTCTCATAGACCAGCGCACAGCGCCATGTAGGACGTATTTTCTTCTCAATAATAAGGTCCACACCCTCAACACTGTGTGCGATGTGAGCTTCTTGTTTCTTTTCAACCTATCTGTGTGGGAGCTCGGTCAGCGGTCGGTGGTAAAGAGATGTAGGACCTTTCCTTAGGCCCGCCTCTCACACCCTCACTGTCTGCCGTGCAAGCCCCGCTAGAGGTGCGGGCGAGAGGGCGGCCCGAGCCCGAAAGGGCCCGCCCTCGGCTTGCTCTACATGGTAACGGACGTAAATAAGTATAAGAAGAGCGAGAGAGAAAAACACACGAGATATGGGACACGCTGTGGTTCAGACGTCTGCGATGTCACCTTCTTGTTTCTTATCAACCTATGTGTGAATCCAGGGCTCGCACCTCAACCTCTCATAAACAGCGCACAGAGCGTTTGTGCGTATTTCTTTAACAAGGCTGTGTAACACGCGAGTGACCGGCCTGGGTAAGCCCCCCAAGAAGGAGGAGGCGTTGTGTCGAGTCGTGCGTGAGACAAAAACTGCGATGTCACAGGTTATCGACGCTCCAACTGAGGCTGTCATCTTTGACCTCGGCGGCGTGATTCTCCACTCGCCCTTTGCCGCGATAGCCGAGTACGAGACGCGACTCGGTGTCGGGCAGAACACTGTCAACGCGGTCATCGGAGCATCTGGCAGCGGTGGCGCTTTTGCGCGGCTCGAGCGCGGCGAGTTGACGATCGAGTCGTTCAGTGACGCCTTTGCGGCGGACTGTAAAGTGGCGGGTGCACCGTCCATCATTGACGGCGGTGAGCTTATCCGGGTCATCCTGGATAGCTGCACGCCGCGGCCGCTCATGACGGAGGCGCTGGGCATCCTCCGCGAAAGCAGGGTACGGACCTGCGCGCTGACAAATAACTTCCGGAGCGCCACGGGCGACGACCGCCTCGCCTCGTCCATTCGGGAGCTGCAGCCGCTCTTCGACGAGATCGTGCAGTCGGCGGAGGAGGGGCTGCGCAAGCCCGACCCGGCCATCTACGAGCTGGCCATCTCGCGGCTGGGCGTGCCCGCATCGGCCTGCATCTTTGTGGACGACATCGGGAGGAATCTGAAGCCGGCCCAAGCACTCGGCATGCGCACCATCAAGTGCGACGTGAGCGACGCTAGTGGGGCGCGTGCGCTCAAGGCGCTCAGCACGCTGGTCGGAGGCCAGGCGGGACCCGCGCTGCAGCGGTGGCTGAGGAGGGCGAGACTGTGAGTCGTTCGTTCTATCTCAATTTTTTTAGTGCCACTGCGCGCGCGCGGCCCCGTGCCTACAATAGTGCGTGACTAAATTTTTTTGGTGTACCTGTGTTAGAGTTAGTGCCAGTGCGCGCGCCCGGGTAATTTCTTTTTTCGCGGCGCGGCAGGGTTCCGGCTCCTAGCCAGATAGGGGGTCTGTTGACCATGACTCGCGCCAAAACGCCCTACCTACCTACCTATCCCCAGGCCGCGCAGCGAAGCGAAAAAAGACGAAAAAGGGGTACTGTTGCAGGGCCCTCTTGGTCGAGACCCCCTATCTGGGCTAGGAGCCGGAACCCAGATCCAGCGTAGAGGGTCGTTGCGCCAGTTCGTGACCATCGACGCCACAGGTACACTGCTCATACGGCCGACTGTGCGTGCGGCTCGTCGTCTCATGACCGCCACACCGCGCGGTCTGTGCGAGCGCTACACGGAGCGGCTATACGCGGAGATGAGGGACGATGCACAGCGCACCTCCGCGTACGAGGACGCGCTCCGCCATCTCGCTGCCGGCCGAGTCGTGCTCGACCTCGGCACAGGCGGCCTCGCGCTTCTCGCGGTGATGGCCGCCCGAGCGGGAGCCTCGCGCGTTTACGCGCTCGAGTCGAATGCAGAGGCGTGCGAGGCGGCGAGGCGGACGGTGGCGGAGCTGGGCCTGCAGCAGGTCATCGAGGTGCTCGAGGGCTACTCGACGGAGCAGCCCGCCCTGCCTGAGCCGCCGAGCCTGCTCGTCCACGAGATCCTCGGCGAGGTCGCTGGCTGCGAGGGCGCCGCACGATGTGTGGCGGACGCGCACGCGCGGCTGCTGGCGCCCGGCGCTGTGGCCGTCCCGGCCTCGGCCAGATCGCTGTGTGCGCCCTGCAGCTGGCCCTCTGGCGAGTACTGGGCCTCGCTGCCGAACCCGGTCCTCTCCCCTCCCCCCGGGGCCGCGCTCAAGCTGCCTCGCTTCCCGCGCGAGGCGACCCTGGCGCCAGCGCAGCCGTTCGAGCAGCTCGACTTCGGGTCCGCCACCGCTGGCCGGCTCGCGGAGCCGCAGCACTCCCGGATCTCCTTCGGGCTGGCCAGGGCCGACTCGTTGCGAGGACTGGCGCTACACATCGAGGTCGCATTCCCTCCACTAGCAGAGGGCGCCGCCCCGCGCGTGAGCTCGGCAGACGAGGGCTCGCACTGGCCCACCGTGCTGCTGCCGCTGCCCCAGCCCGCCGAGGTCGCCGTCGGCGACACGCTCGTGGTGGAGGCAGAGGCTCGGTCCGCCGACGAACAGCCGCGATACTCCTTTCATGTGTGGCTCCAGCGCGCCGGCGCGCCGTCCCAACCCGAGGCGCTGGGCTGTCTCTGCTATCCATGAGCAACCATCTAGAGTGTACACGGGTGAGGCGTTTTCTTAACAGTCGGTGTTGTACGTCCCGGCGATGCCTCGCCCCCCGCGCGCGAAGTGGCGCGGAGACGCGCGCGCGCGGCGCGCCGAAGCCCGAAGCGGCGAATGGCCTATAGCTCTCTGGGGGGGCGCGGGGGCCCCCGGAGGCACCGTGCGCCGCGCAGCAGTGCGGAAATACCGCGGCTTACCCCTTGTACCGGAAAAACAGGGCTCCGGCGCTCAGAGTCGCTCAGAGCACCAACTTCCCGATTAAGTACGATTAAGTAGAGGGCAGATTTGGAAAATCTCAAGGAGTACACACAGATAGACCCCCTCCAACCATCAGAAAACTCCGACCTGATCGATAGCGGTCCCGCCATAGCTCTCGCATAGGAGCAGGAGCAAAGACAGGGGCCGCATCGCGACGAAGCCGAAACACGAATCTCCAAACCAAAAAGGGATGAAATCCCTTATGGATATAATCGCCAAATTATCTCCGAAACATAGTGTGAATGCCCGGGAACACCTCTGGGGGGGCGCGGGGGCCCCCAGAGGCACCGTGCGCCGCGCAGCAGCAGTGCGGAAACGGGGCTCCGGCTCCGCTAGTCTCCGCTAGCACCGACTTCCCGAATGAGTACGGTTGAGTAGAGGGCAGATTTAAAGAGATCTCGAGGAGTACATACAGATAGAACTCCAACCATCAGAAACCTCCAACCTGATCGGTCGTACTGACCGCCGACATATCACTCCAGACAGCAGAGACAGGACGTCTGCACGCGGCCGGCCGGGCGAGAGGCTTGACACGATCCGACCCTGCGACCCTGACGCTGCTGCTCTAGCTATCAGCCATGCACAGCTGACTGCTGCCACAATGTGCGACCTGTGCTGGCCCCTTGGCGGCCTTCCCGGTCAGTGGTGAGGCGCAGTTCAGAGCTGTCGATGGCGCGATGCCGCACTGGTCCCACATTGGTGACACGAGACCACCAAGTTTGCCGGTCCAGAGAGAGGCACCGGCGCTGTCCTGAGAAGGTGCGTGGTCCCTCTTGACTGCCCATGCGCGCGAGGCTGTGTAGGCATAGCCTCGAGAGTGCCAGCAGCCAATCCGAGGTGACGCGCATTGCGCCAGAAGCGTGCACACGATGGAAGGACACCTTCCTACTGGCCGTACGATCAGGTCGTCACTGAATGCTTGATACTAAGGCCGCGAGCTATGCAGGTGACCAATTGTGCAGCATGGCACGGTCAGCAGCGCCGACAGGCTGTCGCGAGGCGTGATAGCATGGCCGCAAGTACGCGAATTCCCATGAAAACAAGTAAAAAAATCGCTCAAAAAAACTCCCAAAAATCGGCGCCTGCGGCGGGCCATCCGACCCCGTCTCCCCCCCGCATGGATACCCGCTAGGGCCCCCGCGCCCCCCCAGAGCTATAGCTAAACACTCGCGGGGGACGCGCGGTTTTTATGTGCCGTTTGGTCGGATCACACGCACAGACGCACAGTCGACACATACAGTGCTCTGGAGCCCCTTCTTTTCGGGTGTGGTGCTAGTTCGTGCCAGTCTGCTGTGAGAGGGGCTTGTATTCGTAGAATTCTTTTCGGGGTCTAGCCCCCCCTCCACACCATGAAGCATGATGTGATGATGGTCCCGCGTCCGGCCATGCGCGCCGGGCCGCCGGCCTCTAGTAAAGATTTTTGCCGATCTCGTGTCCTGTAAGTTGTAGAGGGTGTGGGCCGTGAGTTGAGGAAATCGAGGGACGCGACCCACTTCGTCACAGACGGTCCCGCGCCTCGCCGCTGTGTATGACGGCCGGCGGCACGGCCGCACGCAGCCCGCAGCTCGTGTGCGTGCCGCCGCCGTCATAGCGTCGAGTGAATCCGACGTTGATATTTCATCAGGGCGAGCACAAAAGGAAGAAAGGGCGGTTCCGAAGCGATGACAGGCGAGCGACAGCCTGCCACACAGCCTCCCCGGGCCAAGTTTGGAACGAAACGCGCCGTCGCGGTGGCCTCCGGTGCTTCGGGGGATCGACGCATCGAATAGGAGCTTTTCGCGCCAGGGGTGGCCCATGAAGAGCCTCCTCCTCCTCCTCTCCCTTTTCGCCGTGGACAGTACTGCTGTCCTCGGCCGGGAGGACATCATCTCTGCCGTCATGAGCAGCACCTACAAGAACCGCGCAGCCTCGAACTGCATCGACGGCGAGCGGACCATGGGATCTGGGGCCAGCGCCATCACAATCCGTTCTGACCAACTGTGCCAGACCGACATTCTTGGTCCTGCGCCATATGGGCCTGACACCCCCGACACTGTGTGCAACGTGGGCTTGCCAGATATGCGAGGCTTCCAGCCATGCGGCTCGAGGAACCCGTGGATCCAACTCAAAGTCACGCCGGGGAAGAAAATCACGAGCATCTTCTTTTTCAACCACGCAGCGGGCCCCGGTTACTTCCGGCTGGCGGGCGGGCTCAAGGTGTTCGTCTCCAACGAGTCATACTCGGACCGGCTCAGCAGGGGGGCCATGCCGCCCGACGCCTTCCTCTGCTTCGACAACTGCCGCGAGTATGACGAGTGCAGGCGGGCGAACGTCGTCTTGGGGGGCGTGCTGCAGGAGGGGGTCTACCCTGGCCAGTGCGAGACGACAAGAGGGGAGTATGTCACCATTACTCTCCTCTCAGACGATGAGAACGAGTTCCGAATCATCAATCTCGAGGAGATTAATATCGTCTATGAGACCAAGGAGCTCTGGCCGCCGCCGCCCAGCCCAGCACGCCCGCGGGAGATAGCGGCGGGTGAATCCATCGACCCCCTCTTCGCGCACCTAGCCGTCCAGCGATCGCGCCCTCCTCCAGCAGTTTCGTCCCCGCCGCCACCTAGCCCCAAACCGCCCATGAGCATGACACGGACATCCTCTGGAGGGCTCGACGGCGGTGGACACCAGGACCCGCACCTCCACTTCGCACATGGCGGGTCTGCCGACTTCCGTGGCCACGATGGCATCATTTACGCCTTCCTCTCGGCGCCCAACCTTGCGGTCAACGTGAAAACGGAGGACTCCAGCTTTCTGCTAAACGGCGGCAAGCTCAAGGTGAATGGCTCCTTCCTCACCGAGGTGCACGTAGTCGCTCGCGTCGGCGGCGCCAAGCGCAAGTGGGCCATGGCCTCCTTCTGGGCTTCCGAGCTGAACGGTCAGAACTGGGGCTGGAAGATTGTGAACGGGACGTGCGGCGGCCAACACTTTATTCTCGGCAGGAAGAGCGCCAGGCAGTGTGAGGAGCTCTCCATCCGGACGCAGTCGTCGCACGCCGTGTTCGCGCTGAGAAACTGGACCGTCACGGTGCGCGGCAATCACGTGTACCAGCGTCTCTCTGGACCAGCCCACCGGCTCGACGTCAGCTTTAGAGCGGAGGGCGACGCGGCGGCGAGGTGCTTACCGCACGGTATCGTGGGCCAGTCCTTCTCTTCGCCGAAGGAGCGGGTGGGTAGATTGGACGAGTACCCAGAGGAGGGTCAGATCACGACCCGCGCTATGGCGGAGGGTGCCATCGACGGCGAGGCGGACATGTACGAGCTGCCGTCCGTGTACGCGACGGCCTTCACCTTTTCCCGCTTCGAGGGTGCGCTCGAGACAGCGCGCTTGAATGCGGCGCTGCTAACACGGTCTAATACCGTCAGCGTCACCGACGGCGACGCAGACGATTAACGCCGGAATGAGCGATCGCGGATGAAGCGGGGTCGATTGTCGATCTAATTAAATAAATACGGACACCTCTTAGTGTGACACGCACGGGTGTCGGGGTGGGGTAGCGAGTGAGCCGCGCGCGCGACGCGGCTCGGTGGAGTCGTGATTTGTGCACAAGGGATTTAAATAATAAAGAAAACGCTCAACCTCTAAGCGAGATGGGATTTAGGGACGTGTGTCCCCGCCCTGCACGATCTTGGTGTGAGGGATCTTCAATCCGTGTCCCCTCACCCCTCGTCACAACCCGACACGGAAGAGCGGCAAGAGTTGGGGCTGCGGCTACGGCTGCGGCTACGAGAGGGGCCGGGGTCGCGGGAGAGCCGCTGCGCCGCGTGGACGCGCCTACACCGCTCTTGCTCCGCTCGCCACCTCTCGCAAAGGTCCAAAGTCATAGCCATCACCTCCTCCGGCAAGTCCTTTTCGCCTATCTTGCCGTCCCTCCAATCCTGGAAGAGCTCGTCGTCATAGCCGTATTGCATCACAGCCTGCTGCACTGCGTCGTGTACAACCCCTGCCACCCTATCCCGCGCCTCGGCGTCGGAAAAGTATTGGTCGAGCTCGGAGTCATACTCGGAAGCAGGCGCAGACGGCCGCGGTGATTTGGCAGGCGGCGAGGAGGGGGAGGGGGAGCGCGGCGGTGCGCGCTCGTGGCTCCCGCTGGTGCCAGAAGGGCCAGCACCCAGCGCGCTCAGCCTGTTCTTGTTCACCTTGGGAGAGGGGGGTGGGGGTCCACCTCCCTTGGGTGCGGGCTGGCGGTCAGGCTTGCGCTTGACCGCCTTGCCCGGCGGCTTGCGGCCATGGTTCCTCATGGTGAACCTGTCCGGCATGCCGCCCTTCCCAACCCTGGTCCACCCCTCGGGCGACTCGTTGGGCTGGGGTTGCTGCACCTGTTGGTGCTGCGGGTGTGCCTGCGGTGCTGCTGCCGGAGCTGCAGCGGCGGCAGGCGGTGCTGCGGGCGGTGCCGCGGCGGAAGTGGCAGCAGGCACAGGCTGCGGTGGGGCACTGCCCTCCTTGGCCTGCTGCCGCTCCCTGTCCCTCTCCCACTGGGACTGGGGCTGGACAATGAACTGCTTGCCCGTGGGCGTCGGGTTGACGCTGAAGCTCCACCAGTTGTTCTCCACGGCGAGCCGCGAGAGGATGCGAATCATCGCCTCGTCTTGCGGCGCCACCGCCTCTCCTGTGGCTTGCGCGCACAGTTTGAGCCTGGCCGCAACGGACGGGCCATCGCGAGCGTCGGCCATGGCCCCGTTTGGCCGTTTCCGTAAAAGTTGTAGATCACAGATGAACGCCCGTCGGAAATTAAATTACTTAACTAAGTGCAGTAGAACATCCAAATTCCAATCGCAAACATAGAAACCCAAACACACACAGCCACGTGGCATAGGAGAGGAGAAAAGGAGGTCAGCACAAGTTGCAAGGACGCACGAGCGAGAAGAATAATAACGGACACCTCTCTACTGTGAGATGGGTAAAAAGGAACAGAACAGGTCCCCGCCCGTGCGATCTTTGTGCAGGGTTCTTTGTGGGTGTGGTCGGCGACTAGCCGGGGTCGTCCTCCCGATGGGGGACTAGCACTAGCCGTCTTCGCCACATGGTCCCTCGGGTCCCTGCTGCTCCTAATCTCTTCGTACATCCTCCTGCCGCCCGTCGGAACACTCACAAACATCGATAGTGTTATCGTGGGTGGCGTAATTGACGTATAAGTCGTGCTGGCGCGCTAATGGCGCGTTTGATATCCTGGGACGGTGTGATCGTGTGAATAACTCGCCTGGCTGGCGCGCCATGGCTCGCCCCCATCATCGAGAGGTCTGCCCCTCGCTGGGTGTCACTCTACTCTACAGTGAGATGGGTAAATCGATCTAGCCCCGAGTGATTGACAAATTCCTGTCTCTGTGTGAAGTGTGCGCGTCATGAATGATGAAATAGCAAATATTGACGATGATATTGATAAACGCGGGAGCGGCCGAGCGCTCACTCACGCGTGTCCGTGCTCTTATTTTGGGCGTGGTACTTTACATATCTAGATAGTGGGTTAGACGTACATAAATTATTGTGTGCATGCCATGCGCGCTCTATTTTGTGCCGACGCACTGCCGACTGTAGCACCTCCACAGCGCTGCACCGCGCCCGGCGCCTGGCCACCCTCGCTCACCCGGCGAGGGTGGGGGAGGGGATGGCTTGTGCAAGAGCCGCTGTGGGCGAGAGAGCGGGACGGCTCGGGGCCGGCTTCAGAAGAGCTCGGCGCCGGAGCTCGCGAGGGGCGCCGCCGCCTTCTCTCGCGCGCGCTCCCCGCGGATCGCGTTCTCGCACTTTGCGAGGAAGGCGTCGAAGGCGGCCTCGAAGGGCGCGAGGCGGGTGCGCGAGATGTCCCTCCCGTCCTTGAGCGAGGCGCCTCCCGCGTCGAGGTCGTCCGCGATCGTCTTGAGGGTCGGGACAGAGCTCGGGTCGAACTCCTCACACTCGCTCACGTTGACCGGCACGCAGACGCGGCCGGTCTTCGGGTGGACGCACCACGGCGACTTGAGCAGGTGGTTCATGCCCTTGGACACGTTGACGTCGAGGCGGGGGTACGTGTACGTGAAGACCACCTCCGTGAGGACCGCGGCGAGCTTTGGCGTCTTGCACTCGCTTTTGATCCTCTTCCACCGCTCGGCGCCGCTCATCGCCGGCCGCTTTTCGAAGGCGTCGAGCAGCTGCTCCGCGATCTGCTCGTTCTCGAGCATCGCGAGCAGCTTCTTCTGCCTGCGAGACGCGCCACCACACACACTAGGTGAGCCGGGCCGTCACCCCCTCCCCTTCTCGCCCCCCTCCGCCCGCGCCGCGCGCCTCTCTGCCGTGTCGAGAATCCCGAACCCGCCCGCCGCCTCGCCCTTGAGCATGTGCGAGTGGAAGAACGGCTCGAGCTCGTCCTTGTACGCGCGCGCCAGCGACGGGTGCATCGGAGTGCGGATCGCAAACCGCCCGGTAGCCGGCGCGAGGACGGGGCCGAGGTAGTCGGCGACGGCGCCGCGCACCTGGAAGGATCCGAGACACTTCATGGAAGGGCTCCGCCGGACCCTCGTCGGCGAGGCGGCGCCTCGTTGGACATCCGCCGCGCGCGCGCGTCGCACACCCACAAGTGGATGCCGCGGCGGCCAGAGTAGACGCAGAGGATGTGCTCAAACCTAGAGCGGCACCGCCGACGCCCTGAGCCCGCGCGCCCTGCCGCCGCCCTCCCCCGCCAGAGCCGAGGCCGCGCCCAAAGTCCTCTCGCAGCGCGCGCTCCAGCACACGCATCGCGAGCGCCATGAGCGGCCAGCAGCGGTCGCACGTCTCGAGCCGCTTGACGTCGACCTCGAGGAAGTCGTAGTCGGTCAGGTCAATGTCGATGATCAGCTCGCGCTGCTTCGGCTCGAAGAGCTTGTACTTCTTGTGGTCCGACGGCGGCGCGCTGCAGGAGGGGAGGGGAGGCTGGGTGGGGGCAGGGGCGTGGTCGGGCGGGGTGGGGGCGTGCGGAGCTGGGAGGCGTGCGGCCAGCCACGGTCATGCGGTGGCAGCGGCGGAGGCGTCCGGCGGCGGTGTGTTGGCCGTGCGGGCGGGCGGCGGCGGCGGGACGCACGAAAAGATGGCTCCGATGTCAATCTTGTGTGGCAGCTTGGCGAGCAGGTCCTTCTTGAGGCCGGCCTCGTTCTCGTACGACAGGTACCGGATGTACACGTCGTCGCCCGTTGTGAAGGAGAACTCGCGCCGCTGCAGAAGCCGCGCGCCCGTGTCGGCCAGCTGCGCCGTGCCGTAGCCGAGCCACCGGCACATGGCGGCCGCCGGGAAGACGCGGTCGTAGTACATGCGCAGCAGCTCCGGGCTGAAGTTCTCGCTGGCCGGCGCTGGCGGCGGCTGGGAGCCAGAGCCGGAGGGCGGCGCCGACATCGTTGAGAGATTTTGTGGCGGGAGTCCAGGGAAAGGCGGGCGACTTTGCTCTTTTTTCCGAAAGCGGCTTCCCGCCCTACCGCGCCGGGCGCCGCTCGGGTCCCATTCTTTCAGGTCCCGTGCTCAAGGCGATCTCTCTCTCTCTCTCTCTCTCTCTCTCTCTCTCTCTCTCTCTCTCTCTCTCTCTCTCTCTCTCTCTCTCTCTCTCTCTCTCTCTCTCTCTCTCTCTCTTCTCGAGGTGGATATCCTTTGGCCGCGTTGGGTAGGTAGCGAGGATTGGTGTAACCCGAGCCACGGAGGCGTGTTTTCTGACGGCCGACCGTCAGTGCACGGAGTTGCCCCTTCTCCGACTGCCCCGGCTAGTTCCCGAGGTCGCGCGGGGCTGACCCCTGCGTCCCCCGGGACCTAGCGCGGGTGGGTTGGGGGGGGGCTCGCTGCAGGGAAGGGCTGTGTAAGAAGCCGATCCCCGTAGTCTGCCCCGCTCCTCTCCATCGGGCCGCATGAGCGGCCACGCCTCGCAGATTCGTTTTCGCGCCTGGGTCAGGCGCGCGGGGCATCCCCCGGGTCGCTCGACCAGCGATCCGAAGAGTGGCCGCTATGCGAAGGAAAGAGCGGGGCCCTCGACGCCTCAGTCCGGCCCTCCGAGGGGGGAAGGGAGTTGCGGGGTCCCCACGGGCGCCTCTCGTCGGCCCTCCCGAGGGGGGGAGGGGAGCAAGGGGGTGGGGGGATCGGGGCGGGGGGGAGGGGTCTCGCTTTCATGTGGCTAAGACTTGCCTTTCGGGGAGGGGCTTCCGTTGGAAGGCGAGCGCGGTTGCGCGCGCCCAACGTCTTCCCCTCCTCCCTCGAGGCAGCGAGTAGGCAGCGAGTGGAGGACTCGAGCGCCTATAAGCTATATGAAGGTATGTGAGATGTTGATGGGAATGGGTGTCGGGCGGGCGGGCGGGCGGGCGGGCGGGCGGGCGGGCGGGCAAGCGGGGAGAGGCGGGCGGGCGGGGCGGGGCGGCGGGCGGGCGGGGTGATCGGAGAAGTCGTATCCACAATCCGCAGCAGCGGAGCAGCCGCAGCAGCCGCAGCTGCTGCAGCAGCAAGCAGCAGCCTGCCGCAGATTGCTGCCGTTGTCAGCGCCGCGATCCGCCGCCGTGCCGCCGCGTCGCCGCCGCCCGCGCCGCCTGCGCTCGCCGCCGCCTCGCAGACGCCACCTCTCGCGCTCGAGGAGCCGCGCAGCGGGCCGCGAGGTGGATGTCTGGCGAGGTCATGAAATCATCAAATTTTGAACTTGCCCGAGACAGCCCGGAAACGGTCCCGAGCCGTAGCCCCGGTGTCGGCGCATCGCCTCTCGGCCGCGAAGGGCCGGCTCCGCCGCTCAGTCGAGCAGCAGGAGCTCTGGGGCAGGTTTGTCGACAAACAGGTTGAGCAAAATTTCGGCGAGGAAGCGGCACTGGCGGCACGCCGGGACGAACCCGGACCGATCCCATTGTTCATTGGCCGCGTTGGGTAGCGAGGATTGGTGTAACCCGAGCCACGGAGGCGTGTTTTCTGACGGCCGACCGTCAGTGCACGGAGTTGCCCCTTCTCCGACTGCCCCGGCTAGTTCCCGAGGTCGCGCGGGGCTGACCCCTGCGTCCCCCGGGACCTAGCGCGGGTGGGTTGGGGGGGGGCTCGCTGCAGGGCGAAGGGCTGTGTAAGAAGCCGATCTCCGTAGTCCGCCCCACTCGCACTCCTCCCCATCGGGCCGCATGAGCGGCCACGCCTCGCAGATTCGTTTTCGCGCCTGGGTCAGGCGCGCGGGGCATCCCCCGGGTCGCTCGACCAGCGATCCGAAGTGCGAAGAGTGGCCGGCTGGCCGCTATGCGAAGGAAAGAGTGGGGCCCTCGGGGTACGCCTCGTCCGGCCCCCTCCGAGGGGGGAAGGGAATTGCGGGGTCCCCACGGGCGCCTCAGTTCGGCCCTCCCGAGGGGGGGAGGGGAGCAAGGGGGTGGGGGGATCGGGGTGGGGGGGAGGGCGGAGGGGTCTCGGTTTCGTGAGGCTAAGACTTGCCTTTCGGGGAGGCAGGGGCCTCGGTTCAAGCGCTCATCACAGGAGTGAGAGCTGCCTGACGTCTTCCCCTCCTCCCTCGAGGCAGCGAGTAGGCAGCGAGAGGAGGTCTAGGCTGAGAGACAAGACACGGCCTCTTTTCTTCCAGGCTGATTGAGAGAGATTTTTGAAAAGCAACAACAAATCACGACTATAGCGATTCGGGCTACCCTCGACACCAGACGCGACCAGGAGACTCTACTCAAATCACCGAATGAACTCAAGGGGGTCCCATGCGGCTTAGGGATCCCGAACCCTGCAAGCGCTGGGCGATGCTGGCTGTCGTGCCCGGCTCCTCGGCCGTCACGCCGGCGGGGGCGGGGCCCGGCGGCCCCGTCGTCCCGGGCGTGAGCTCGCTCGGCCACGCCGCGACCGTCAAGGATGGCGTGCTGCAGCCGCCCGCCGACCTGCAGGGCATCATCGACAAGACGGCGCAGTTCGTCGCGCGCAACGGGCCCGAGTTTGAGAGCCGGATCCTGAAGAACGAGCAGAGCAACCCCAAGTTCGGCTTCCTCAACAGCAGCGACCCCTTCCACCCCTACTACCGCAACAAGATCTCCGAGCTGCGCGGCGATGCGCCGGCGGCAGAGACGGCGGTCGCGGCGCCGGGCGCGGGGGAGGTGTCGGCGCAGGCGACGGTCAAGTCGGGGTTCAAGGTGGCGCCGCTCGAGCCGCCAAAGGCGCTCTACACCGTCCCCCGCCCCGTCGGCGTCGTCCCCCTCGACCTCGACACGATCCAGCTCTCGGCGCAGTTTGTCGCGCGCAACGGCCGCCCCTTCCTGACGGGCCTGGCGAACCGCGAGTCGAAGAACCCGCAGTTCGACTTTCTCAAGCCGACGCACTTCCTCTTCCCCTACTTCACCTCCCTCGTCGACGCCTACTCCAAGTGCCTCGCGCCGCCCGAGGGCCTGCGCGAGCGGCTCGCCTCCGACTCGGCCGACCCGGCGGGCGCCCTGACGCGCATGTTCCGGCACGCGGCCTTCCACCGCGAGAAGGAGCGCGCGAAGCTGAGCCAGGAGAGCGCCGTGGACGCGGAGCGGCGCGCCAACCTCCTCATCGACTGGCAGGACTTTGTCGTCGTCGAGACGATTGGGTTCGACGACGACGAAGAGGAGGCGCTGCCGGCGCCGCAGGACCTCAAGGAGGCGGCGGCGGCGGCGAAGCCGGCGGAGGGGCAGCCCGCCGCGGCCAACGAGCAGGGCGACGCCGAGATGGAGGAGCTGCCTCCTCCGCCTCCGCCCGGCGTGCCGGAGCGGCTGATCCGGAAGGACTACGTGCCGCAGATTGGGGTCAAGCCGGCGGGCAGCGTGGGCTACGCGATCGACCCGATCACGCGGCAGCAGGTGCGGCTCGACGAGATGGAGGAGCACATGCGCATCTCGCTGCTCGACCCGAAGTGGAAGGAGCAGAAGCAGCTCGAGGAGGAGAGGCGCAAGGACTCGAACGTCGCCGGCGACGAGGACATCAACCGCGCGCTCAAGCACTTTGCGAAGCGGCGGACCGACATCTTCGGCGACAAGGAGGTTGCCATCGGAGAGATGGTGGGCGCCAACGCGGTGCAGGAGGAGATGGAGCTCGCCAAGAAGGTCATCTGGGACGGCCACTCCTCCTCCATCGCTCGCACCGCCAACATGGCGCTGCAGACCGGCATGCGCTCGCAGGAGCCGGCCATCGACGCGTCGAAGATGCCCTCCGCCACGCTGCCCCTCCCGCCGAGCAAGCCGCCCGGGGGCATGCCGCCGCCGCCGCCCGGCATGCCGCCGCCGCCGCCCGGGGGCATGCCGCCGCCGCCGCCCGGCATGCCGCCGCCGCCGCCCGGGGGCATGCCGCCGCCGCCGCCGCCAGGCGGCGGGCTACCGCCGCCGCCGCCGCCCCCCGGGCTGCCGCCGCCGCCGCCGCCGCCGCCCGCGAAGAAGCAAAAGACCTGAGGCCGAGGGCCGCAGCCGCCGCGCGGGCCACCGCAGAGCCCCGCATGTTTCGTGCGCACGCACAGCGGCATCGGTGGCGGGCCGTCAGGTCTTCGCGGCAGCGCCCTCGTGTGCCTCGTCGGCGCTCGGCGGGCCCGCGGGCGCCGGCGGCGGCCGTTGCGCACATTCTCGCGCCTCCCTGTGCTCCCGGTCGGTTCGTGTTTAGATCCAGTAATCTTGGTAATCCGTTTCTAGAGCGAAAGCTAAAGGGGGAAAAAGACACACAACCCGTCCCGCGAACAGCCTCCCCCCCTCGCGACGCGCTCGAGGAACAGCCAAAATAAGCGCGACGCGCGGGGACCTGTTCCTTTTTACCCATCTCACAGTAGAAGGAGATTTGTTTTGTCAAGTGCTCAAATCGTCGGAAATACGCCGCGAGAGAGCTACCTTGGGGCCTTGTTATCCCCGCTCTTGTTTGATCGGCTCACGGACGCATCCTTGGCAGCACAAATGCTTCGCCTCCTCGCCCTGATCGCCTGCCTCGCCTGCGCCGCAGCGGGCCCGATCCCGCAGCCGGACGCCATCGTCGCCGCCGCCGCCGCCCAGCACACTCCGGATGCGAGCCATATCGTGCATCCGCTCGCACAGGCTGCGAGTGACGCTCACGCCACCGTCACAGACACGGCCGAGAAAATGATGTCGTCGTTCGTGGACACGCGCAGTGAGTCGGAGGAGTGCCCAGGCTTTTTTGCCGCGATCGGCGACCTGCTCGGCGTCGTCCCAACCTTCCTCACGGCGCACGGCGGCTTCGAAGCGGCCCTCGCAAAGGCGGTCGCCGAGCTCGACAGTTGCACCCTCGAAGCGCTCAACAGCCTGGTGTTCGCTCTGGGCGACTCGCCGCTCGGCTCCCTCTGCCGCTAGATGTATCTGGCTCTCCTCCCTTGTGCTGATCTATTAGCAGCCCTGCGCGCGTGTCGCTTTACGGCGGCGGCGGTCACGGCGCCCGCCCCCCGCTCTGACAGGGCTGCCTTCGCGGTGTGAGTCTAGTACAGGCGTCATTTGTCGTCAATAGAGTCAAGTCTCTTCTCCTCCAAAAAACAAGCCAACCCAGCACGCGACCAAGAGACACAGCTCACACTCTGGGTTGGGAGAGACGGAGAGTCAACCACAGAGAGTGGATGCTGGATCTGGAATCCTAGAGAGAGATCAGAGTCAGACAAGAGACACAGAGAGATGTGGTGAGGCACAGCACGCTGAGCGGAACTCTTTTGAGACTCGCTGGGAGAGAGGGATTTTGTGGCAGATCAGGATCGCCGGGCCGTCACGAGCAAGCGTGCCGAGCGGGCTTGCGCCAGACGCATACCGCCGCGCGGGAGGCGGAGCGAGCGGGCCTCCCGTTGAGCGCCCTCCCCTTTCCCAAGTGCGATGATCGTGTGTCGCTGGATGGAGTGTATTGCCACGCAGCGTGCCGCCACTTTCAGCAAGATGCGGGCAGATTTGACCTAGGGACCGGAAGAGAGCGAAGGGTGTCGTCATGATGTGGCTATGGCCGCGTGCGGGCGAGGGCATGGTTGGGCGTCGGGGTTAATCGTGGTGGTGGCTGTCCGCGCCACGGAGGCCTCCGCCGTACTGAGCAACGGTGGAGGTACTATGGGACGCATTCGTTAGTGTGGGCGGGCACAACTGGGCGGGCGAGTGCAAGCCACGAAGACCGCGGTGTGCAGTGCCAACAAAGGCCTTGGGACCAGCCTTGCCCAGACGGCGACGCAGGGCCGCCGATGTGGTGCCGCCGCCGGAGAGTGGGTGCTGGCATGGCGTGCTGGGGGCGATGCGGCGGTGCACGCACCGAAGGTGAATCGTGATGAGGGCGTCACCGTACGAGCCGCGATGAGGCGAGCGACGTCGACGCGGTGGAGAGGGCGAGGCCAAACGCACTGCCAGCGACGATGCTCGCGGCCAGTGAGAGATGCATGCCAAACGAGGCTTGCACTACCGCGCACACGGCGAAGACAGCTCCGCCGCTGCGCCGCCACATATATGAAGCAAGCGCGTTGCAACCGCGTTGCTCCGCAGTGCCCGTGCTCCGTCAGGTCACGTACTAAGCGCGCCAATTCGAAGAAAGAATTTTACAACGAAACTCCCTCGCACGACACTAGGCTCCAAGATCCTGCTCGTGCCGACGGACGTACGGGCACATGTGTCAGAGCGCGCACGAGTGGGTGTGCGGGCAATATCGAAAGACGGTGAGGCCGGGATCGCACACGGCAGGGGTGGCGGGACGGTTGTGGAGCGAAGTGGCTGTAGCTGCCACAGTCTTAAACGTCGATGGGACAATCAGATGAGATTACCAGACGAGAACGGGGGGAAGGACAGGCGGGCGACATTTGACGACGTCGGGGATCACAATGTGACGACCAAAACGATCTTGGGGGCCAGGGTGAGACAACACTCAACAGGTAGGGGTGCCACACGCCACACGGGGCACACCACAGGCGTATTCTAGAGGGGGAGAAGAAACGGGGAATGAGGGGCACCGCCACGAGAAGTGCGTTCTGGGGATGCAGAGCGTGCATGCTCCATGCAAGGCGGCTAGGGATGAGGCCACAAAAGAGGCGCGCGAGGCAAGGAGGAGAATCGGAGAACTGAGAGACTGGGACGACTGGAAACAAGAAGACAGTGAGCCACCACAGGCGTCGTTGGCGCACATACTGAGCGGCAGCTGCGCTGGAAATAAGGAAGACGCGCGCCACTTCATGCGGAAGCTTGACAAACACGCGGCGAGGGCGACAGCAAGAGTCGAACGGGAGGCGCCGGACTCAAAAGACACCGCCACATTCCTGAGACGTGCGAGGGCAGCCTCCCTAAAGGCAATAGGGTCTAGATTCGGAGCGCTCGCCGAAGGGGAGTACCACAAAATAGCGCCCGTGATTGCCTGCACGCTGCCCGCACTCACGGACTCCATACCCGAAAGAAAGAAAAGGGAGCTCGCGGGGGAGGTGACGAGTGAACTACAGGTAGTGGGGAAGGCAGCCTCGATTGCCATACAGACATGGGTGCGAAACAACGACAAGACCAGGGCACGGGCAGAGGAACGAGAGAAGAATATAGGGTGGATAAAGCGCCTGTTCACGGCATGGAGGGCTGAGCCACACCGAACGTACCGAGCGAAGGGCCGAGCGGAAGGAAGCCGGGGAAGAGGACTCCGAGGAGGACGAACCAGTGGAAATCCCGTTGTCAGCCGTCACGATGCACCCGAAGGGAACCCCAGCGCCGGCATCATCCGTGGAGGCACAAGTGTTCGAAGAGAGAGTGGACCTGAGCAACGATATGACTGGGCGGCAAATGATCGCAGTGGGCGTCAGAAGACTCGTCCTTGCTCGAGGAGAGCTCGATAGACTCGAGGGGCCAGGATATGCCGCGAGGAGGGCGGAGTTGCGCCGAAAGGCGAAAGAAGCCGCGAGAACAAGGGACCGGCAGGCGGCGGCGTCGCAGGACGAGGCAGAAGAGAGCGACGCGACAGAGGAAGAAGTGACAAGGGAGAGAACGACGAGAGTGGGACGACCGCGAGGTGGCATGAAGGTTGCAGCGAGAAGCGGCGAGAGACTGCGAAGAGAGATAGGAAGAGGCAGACTCCCTGGGTGGGCGACGGCTAGCGCATGCCATCACACACCTCTCCTTAAAATCCCTGTGTGGTGGCGGCGTGCCGTCCTCCCATCCTTCCCTTGGGTTGTATGTTTTCTTTCTTTCTTTCTACTAGGCTCCAAGATCCTGCTCGTGCAGGTGGGGACCTTGTCCTCCTCCCATCCCTCGTTTGGTTTGTCTGTCTTCTTTCTGTCTTTACCAACCCCTGCCTAGACGAGTACAGCTAAAGACGGAAAAAGAGTACCCGGGGCTCCCCATGCGGGAGAACATCTTCAGCTTGTGAGCCAGGAAAAGGATTGTTTCTTTACACTAGGTACGGGGACTGGCGCGCACTGGCACTAACACAGGCACACCACGGGAGCAGTCTAGTGTCGTGCGAAAGAAAGAAACCAGCACCGCCGGCGGGTAAAATTCGGATACCCATCACTGAGCCGACGAACGATGCTACGGGTAGGTAGCCTCCCCAGGGTGGCGCCCACCACCATACCCTCGGGCACTTGCCTGCGCCCTCGCGCGCTAGCCCACGCCCTGCCCCGCAAGATCTCACTCCATCCCGGCCTGCGGCATACCTCTCGGCATCCCCTTGCACGGAATTTCAAAACGCCCAGGAGCCAGGTTCCCTGCTCAGATCGGCGAAGCGCCACACAGTGCCACGCAGTGCCGCGTAGTGCGGCGTGCGCGCGGAGCGTGCGCGGAGCGTGTGCGCGCGCGTGCGCGGCGTGCGCGGCGTGCGCGCGCGTGCGCGGCGTGCGCGGCGTGCGCGGGCGTGCGCGGGCGTGCGCGGCATGCGCGGCCAGGGCGCAGGCAAGTGCCCGAGGGTATTATTGGGGTGGGCGGCACCCTATCTCGAGACCTCGAGAGAAGGCCGCCCGCGGGCCCAAGTCGAGAATTGGCTTTCTTTTGGCGGGCAAGGCACCCTCGGGCTCGACCCGTAGCATCGTCGGCTCAGTGATGGGTATCCTTCTTTTTATTCCTGTGCCAGGGCGCGCCAGTCCCGTGCTGAAAAAAAGAGGATGATAAAGTCGGCTATCTCCAACTCGTAAGTTTTCTTTCTGACTTGCGGCTCCCGTCCGTGGTGTACCTGTTTTAGTGCCAGTGCGCGCCAGTCCCGTGCCTAGTGTAAAAGAAAGAAGAAAGAAAACGGACACCCCAAGGGAGGGATGGGAGGACGGCACTAGTGTAAAAGAAAGAAAGAAAACGGACAACCCAAGGGCAAGGGAGACTCGTGTAAGAAAGAAAGAAAGAATTTTACAAAGAAAGAAAACAGACAACCCAAGGGAGGGATGGGAGGACGGCACGCCGCCAAACAAATGTGAGTGTTAGAGTTGTTTGGTATTGAACGTGCGCCGCTCCCGCCGATCTCCCGCTAACGGACCTTACCCGCCTGTAACCTCTCTTTAAGGTATTGCTAAAAATCTATCTCTCTCGCCGCCACCACACAGGGATTTTAAGGAGAGGGGTGTGGTGCGCTATCCGTCGCCCACCCTTGGGCGTCTGCCTCTTCCTATCTCTCTTCGCAGTCCCTCGCCGATTCTCGCTGCAACCTTCATGCCACCTCGCCGTCTTCCCACTCTCGTCGCGAGGATGAAAAATTCTTTGGCTTTCGGCTTTCTCATCGACACAGAGCGCCTGACCGGCTTCGACCCATGCTAAAGGGCAAGGTTGCCGTGATCACCGGCGCTGGCCGCGGCATTGGTGCGGCGGCGGCGCGTCTGCTTGGTCGCGAGGGCGCGCGCGTCGTCGTCAACGACCTCGACGGAGCGGTCGCCGACAGCGCCGCCGCCGAGATCCGAGCGACAGGCGGTGAGGCCGTCGGTTTCGGTGGGAGTGTGGTGGATGCGGACTTCCCCGAGGCGCTGCTCGCGTACGCGGCGGCTGAATTCGGCCCGGTCGACGTCCTCGTCAACAACGCCGGCTTCCTCTTTGACGGCGTGCTCCACAAGATGGACGATTCGCAGTGGGGCGCTGTCGTGGACTGCCACCTCGGTGTGGCGCTCCCCCTCTGCTTTCATCGTTCCCGTCCACCCGTCCGACAGCGTTCAGTTCAATGGCTCCTCCCGGCATTCGCTCCTCTCAACCTCTCTCTCTCTCTTCAACGCCGCGCTCTCCCGTCGCACCGACCCTCCTCCTCCGACGCCCTCCCCGTCCACCTCTCGCTGTGACCAGGCGCGCCGTTCCGGATGGCGCGCGCCGCCGCACCGTACATGCGCGACGCGGCGAAGCGGGAGATGGAGGGCGGCGGCGCCCCCTCGGACCGCTGCATCATCAACGTCTCGTCCACCTCCGGGCTACACGGCAACGTCGGCCAGGCAAACTACGCGGCGGCAAAGGTCGCGGCCCTCCGAGGCACAGGGGCGGGGCCCGTGCGCGCAGGTCACGGCTCGCGCCCTGCTCACCAGGCGGGCATCGTCGGCCTCACAAAGACGATTGCAAAGGAGTGGGGCGCCTTTGGGGTCCGCGCCAACGCGGTCCCTGCCGCCCCTCCCTCCCGGAGCCTTGCGTGCGCAAGGCGGAGGGCGCGTGTGCGTGGCGGGTCCGTAGGTCGCCTTTGGGATGATCGAGACGCGGATGACGAGCGCTTTTGCCTCCGAGGCGGCCGAGGGCTCGCGCGGCCCTGCAGGCCGGGAGCCGTCCGTGACGCGTCCGCGACGCGCCCGCAGGCGGTCGAGGTCGGCGGGCAGGCGGTGCAGCAGGGGCTGCCTCCCGAGGTGGCCAAGATGTGGGAGGGCGGCCCGCTGCTGCGGGCGATGGTGCCCCTCAACCGGAAGGGGCGGCCGGAGGAGGCGGCGGGCGGCATCCTCTTTTTGGCGTCGCCGCACGCGTCTTATGTGACTGGCCACACCCTCGAGGTGACGGGCGGGATGGGCATCTGACACGGCGCCTCCCTCCTCTGCCCTGGCTCTGCATGGGGGCGAGGCGAGCAGGGGAGGCGAGGGGAGGGGCGGGAGCGAGAGGCTTCCCGCAGGAAACTCCCGCCTCCCTCTCTCTCGGCCCCCTCTCACAAAAAAGAGGCGTCCGATGCGCGATGGACGCTTGGGTGCTTGGATCCTATTTATAAAATGTGTGCTCAGCCGTCGCTGGGACTTGGGTTCTGTTCCCGGGGCATAACTCCCCCACAGCGCAGACGTTCACACTTCCACACCCACAGCGCCTCGTCCAAAACCTGTCTTGTGTGTCCTGGACCTGTCTTGCTTTTCTGCTCGTTTTTATGTCTCGCTTCGCCTTACCACGCTCTCCTTCCCCTCGATGCTGGCGTTCGCCGCGCTCCATTGCCTCGCGCGCGCGTCCTCTCTGCCGATGGCATCGTTCATGGCTTCTCCTCACGCGGAATTCGTGCTCACTGAGCCCGCAAGTGCCGAGTCTGACGCTTCTCCGCACGTCACCGTGTTCTACGAGAAACATGTTGACCTCGCAAATCTCGCCTTCGACGCGCTCTCGCTCTTCTACGAGACTGAGTCAACCTTCTCGACGTGCCTGCATCGGCCGCTGGCACGCCCTACGCTTCTTCGATCGCCGACAGCAGCATCGGCCTCAACGTGCCGCCGACGCCCCGTCACGACGCCAGGGAGGTGTTCGACAGAGCGATAACGCCACGGTTGACGAGATCGCGAAAAACCTCGGCGGCGCGCAAGATGTGCTTGGTCTTCTTGAAGGCAACAGGATCGAAGGCCATGCCGACGGCGGCTTTGCTATCGCAGTTGATGATGCTGGCGCCGTCGATGGAAAATCCAAGGTCAATCAGTAGCTCACGGATGAAAATCACCTCCTTGGCGGCTAGCATGGCGCCAAAGAACTCTGCCTCGGCGCTATGAGTGCACATGCACATGCACATGTCATGTAGCTGGCTGCGAAGTGGCGGAAAATCAAAGTGGCCGCTGTGGGTGAATGACGCCTCAGGGGCAGGCTGTGGCATGTGCTCCATAGCCTGAGAGGTCGTGTGGGGCGAGGCACACATGTCCTCGGAGTGTTCTGGCCAAAGTTCAAAGTTTATCGACAAAACATTCAGAAATGGATTGTCGACGCAAACGGTAGGCTCGAACGTGCTCGAAGAGACCGACTAGACCCCCATTGTTCAGATCTTTCGGCTTGATTGGGGTTGTGCTCGCACATGCCGGGCGCCCAGGTGGTGGCTGGCATATAGAGTGCACGGTTTGTCCATGGCAGCGCACACGTTGGAGCTGCCATGGTGGTCGACGCTGTCGTGTCGATGGTGGTGTCGGCCTCGGCGATGCAATAGTCGAGGCCGTGCTGGCCGGAGGATAAGCCATACTCGATAGCGGTCCCGCCATAGCTCCCGCAAAGGAGCAGGAGGCTAGGCAGAGGCCGCATCGCGTCAGAGAGTGCTGTATACGTTTTACCCTTACGGAGGCCGGGGGCCCTCCGGAGGCCGAGGATGGCCGTGACGGACCGGGACGAGCTCTGGGAGGTTCAGTGTCAGTGAGTATATTGTAGAGACCAACCATGTCCACAATATCTCTCAGTCTAGCTAAGCCTGGGAAGGCGATGCCGGGGCCGTACAGCAGCATGCATGCCACCGAAGGGGCGCTGTCGAGGTTCGCCGAGCGCGGCGAAATCGAAGGACACCGTCACCGACGAGCGCGTGGTGGTATTCACTCCGGACAAAGACGGCTACATGCACACGAGCCGCGGTCGTGTAGCCGTCTTAGCGGCGCGAGGCGCGGGACTGTCTGTGGCGAAGTGGGTCGTGTCCTTCAATTTTCCGTCAACCCACCATCCACACCCTTTACGGAAACGGAAATTTACAACAAAACTCCTTCTCACAACACTGGGCACGGGACTGGAAACACGTAACACGAATCTCCAAACCGTTAGAGGCAAACCAAACGAAAGGGATGAAATCCGGTTATGGATATAACTTCGGCCGCCCCAGAAGTTTTTAAACGTTTTCCCATCCGAAATATAGTGTGAATGCCCGGGAACACGACACAAGCCGCATAACGACTTTTCGAAAAACGCAAAACATTACTTTGACGGAAACGCAAAAACACTCTCTCTGTGTGGTGTCGTACGCAACCTTCTCGCTCTTTTACTATACACATAACTAGAAGTTGGAGGAGACGAGAGCAACGCTCGCGCAGCGTCCGACTTCCGAGGCCGAAGCGTAGGCCTGTGTTGTGGGATACGGGCAAGGCGAATCGGCGCTGTGCGATCGCGGCGGCGCTCATACGATCATCTCGAAGGGCTTGGCGCCGAGCGCCTATCCACATCAGCCCGCACGGTGTCTCGGGGAGGTGCGGCGGGACCAGCGCCCCCCGCGTGCCGCGTCCTTTGCAAACTCCTTCCACACGAGGTGGTCGGGGCCCTCACCGACGGCGCCCTCGGCCTGGGGGTCCTCGGCCATTGCCTGCAGCCGCGTTCGTGCGCCCTCTGGCGTGAGCGCGTCGCCATCGCCAGCCAGCCACGCCCAGAGCGCATCGGCCGCGCTCTCGGGCACGCCGCCGTCGGCGCCCACGCTGCCTCGCGGGCCCATCGGCATCTCAAAGCCGAGGCCGGCGAGCGCCTCGCCAAACTGCGCCCGCGTTACCTCGCCTCCGCCCGGGAAGAGCGCCGAGGCCCAGCGAGGCTCGTGGCAGCCACGCTCGTCGCCAAAGTCGCGGCGGAGATAGCACGGGACCCACTTTGGCTTGGTCGCCTTGAGGACATCGAACCGGTATCCACCGTCGGGCAGCCGCCACTCGCAGTCGCTGCACGCAGAGTGACAGCATGCGCCGACCTCCGGGTCGAGGTGGACCAGCGGCTCGGCGAGGGCTCCAAACAGGAGGCACGCGTCACGCGTGGAGAGCGCCGAGGCGGAGGTGGCGGGCGGCGAGAGGCTCAGACCAAGCGGGTTCGCGGCAGCGAGCAGCATACACACACACACACGCGCGCACACACGCTGTGCTTTGGCGTCGGGATGCAGGGAACTTTCCAAGTCCCGAGCAGAAAAGAATTCTTAAAGCCCTCTCACAGCACACTGGCACGACGAGAGTGGGACGGCCGCGAGGTGGCATGAAGGTTGCAGCGAGAAGCGGCGAGAGACTGCGAAAAGAGATAGGAAGAGGCAGACTCCCTAGGGTGGGCGACGGCTAGCGCATCACACCCCTCTCCTTAAAATCCCTGTGTGGTGGCGGCGTGCCGTCCTCCCATCCCTCCCTTGGGTTGTCTGTTTTCTTTCTTTCTTTCTGCACACTGGCACGACAAGGGCGCGGACTGGCGCGGACTGGCACACACACCGGCTCACCACCGGAGCCGCCTAAGCGACAGAAAAGAATGGCGGTAACAACACAACGCAGTCTCTCACATGACAAGCGATCCCACGATTGAAAAGAATGGGTAAAGCAGGAGCCCGCTGATGAGGCGCAGTGCTGTTGCAGAGCGGTTAGTGGTGCACTGAGTGTGGATTTTTAGTAATACCAAACAACTCTAACACTCACACGTCTCAACAAACTCTACATCATAGGCGGCAAACGAGGCACGGTCGCTCTCCGACATGAGGCGCGTTGCACTTGCCAGTGCTGCCCTGGCCTTCTGTCTGCCCGCCCAATGGGTGGCAGGTGCCTCTGCTGCTGTGGCATGCCTCACGGCTGCGACTGGCCGGCGCCTCGGCGCGTCAGCTCGGCTCGGCGTAGCGATCGTGGCCAGCGCAACTCGCTTGGAGCGGCTCGGGTTGGCTGTAGAGCCTCTACAACAAACTCTACAGCAAAATCGCGCTCTACATCGCTCTACATCGGACTCACATCGTCACGCGCCGGATGTAGAGCTCTACAGCTCTACAGCGCTCCAGAGCGCTCTACATCTCTACAGCTCTACAGCGCTCTACACTCTACATCCTCTACACCCTCCCTCAGGGTGGGACATAAAAGAGAGCGAGTACTTGGGCGAGTAGGCCGTGCGGTCGACGCTGCCGCGCGCGACTTTGCGCGCGAGGCGGCGCAGCTTGAGAACGGCGGTTGGGCGAGAAGCCGCCGCCGAACGTCTCGTGGAGCAGCAGGTTGAAGTTGTTGCGCTTGACGAAGATCGCGTCGTGGTAGAAACCGCGATGCGCCTTGACGTAGCCGTGGCCGTTCTTGTGGTCGAAGGGTTGGCCGGGCTGCCCGCGCGCCTTGCAGGCCATGTTTGTTGTTTGCACTTACCCCAAGAGAAAGAGTCTCTCTCTCTGTCATCGCAAACCCGGCCAGCAGTCCCCTTGGGGTATGTTCGTAAGAGCCACATTACACACTGAGAGAGAGAGAGACATACACAGGTAGGTAGGTAGAAAGGTGAAGAACAGCCAGGCTCGGACTGGACACCAACGCGGTATGGGTGGACGCCGGACAGATGATGACGATACACTGATCACAGACGGGAAAAAGAAAAAGGACACTCGGCTGCGGCGCGGCGCCAGGCGGCGGCGGCGAGACGGACGCTGCTCGAGACGAGAGTGTTCTTGCACCGCGGCTGCCGGTGCATGGCCACTGCGACCACGTTTCGCGCGGCTCGCAGGCCTTACGACCGTGAGGTGCAGGAGCGGCAGCCGCGGCAGACCACACGCTTCGTCGGCCGCGTTCAGTACGACGGCACAGAGTATGTCGGGTGGCAGACACAGCCGAGCGGCCGCGGCGTCCAGGACGTCCTCGAGGCGCGCCTCTCGTCGCTGCTCGGCGGCCGCGTCTACGTCGCCGGCAGTGGCCGCACGGACAAGGGCGTGCACGCGCGGGACCAGGTCGCGATGCCGCTCAGCCCGCGTCTGGCCTGTCCACCGCTCCCTCCTCCTGCCGCCCGTGCCTCTCCCGCTCTGAGCCGTGAGCCGTGCCCGCCGCCCTCCGTGCTCAGGTCTTCCACTTCGAGACCCCTGCCCAGGAGAGTGGCGGCGAGGGCGGCGAGGGCGGCGAGGGCGGCAAGGGTGGCGAGGGCGGCGGCACGAGAGTGGCGCACGTCCAACTGGCCGCCGCGCTCTCCGCAGCAGACGACGCGGCGGTGGCGTCCGTGCTCGAGCGGGTCCTGAGCGGGCCGCGCTCCGGCATGCCGCCCGACGTGCTCGTGCGGAGCGTGTGCGTCGCGCCGGCGAGATGCAGCCGAGAGGAGATGCAGCCGAGATGCAGCCGAGATGCAGGCGAGACGCAGCCGAGATTCCGCCAAAGCTTGCACGAGGCGCGGCTCGCGCGAAGGTGCGAGCAGCCTCTCTTCACGGCTCGAGGCGTGAGCAGGCGGGCTTCCACGCGCGCGACTCGTGCGTCGGCAAGCGGCGCGGCTGCACCGCGGAGGAGGGCAGGCCTGTCCAGGACACGTCCATGACATGTCCGAGACGTGTCCCCCACAGGTACGTCTACACGGTTGAGGAGGGGATCGGGTCGCCCTTCGGCGCGCGGTACCGGTGGGTGCTCGGGCGCGGCAGGCGGCTCGACGTGGCGCTGATGGGGGAGGCGGCGGCTCTCCTCACCGGGAGGCGAGATGCAGCCGAGATGGAGGCGAGATGCAGCCGAGATGGAGGCGAGATGGAGGCGGGATCACCCCGCCTACTGAGCCAGGCGAGAGGCTGCCGAGATCTAGCTGGTGTAGCCCGGCTGCAGCGAGGAGGCGGTGGCGCCGCGCCCGCTGAGAACCTTCTCGGAGCCTTCCTCAGGCACGACTTTTCCGCCTTTGGCGTCCGGCGGCCAGACGACCCGCGGCCGCCCACAAAGGTGATGCGGCGGCTCGAGGCGCGACTCTCCCCTTACCGCTACACCCCACCGCCACACCCAGCCCTGACAAACACGCCCTATGCCGCACCCCACCGCAGCAACAGCAGCAGCAGCAGCAGCAGCAGCAGCAGCAGCAGCAGCAGCAGCAGCAGCCAGTGCAGCCGCGGGTTCTTGAGGCGAGGCGTGACGCGCGCAGTGGCAGCAGCGGGGGCAGAGGAGCTTGCCCTGAGTAGAGGGCGTGGGGCGAGCGGAGGGCGTGGGGTGAGCAGAGGGCGTGGACATGCTGGACATGCTCGCAGGTCCGACGGCTCCCCGCGGAACGCGACAAGGACGACGGCGGCGACGGCGGCGGAGGCGTCGTGATCATCACCGCAGAGAGCGACCGCTTCCTGTACAACATGATGCGGCTGCTGAGCGGCACGCTCGTCCAGGCGGCGGCGGCGTGGCTCGCCGGCCCCGGTCGGGGCCTGGACGAGCTGACCCTGCGGCTGGCCGAGGTTGTAGGTTGGGCTGGGCAAGCTGAGCGTCGCTGGCGTCGGAGAGCTGTTGGCGGAGAGGGGGCGCAAGGGCCGTCACGGCTCGCTTGTCGTCAAGGCTCCGCCGCATGGCTTGTGCCTCGAGCGCTGCTTCCTCGACTACGAGCACGGTGCGTGGCCAGGCGGCGGCGCGAGAGGGGCGCCGGTAGAGGATGACTGAATAACAGGCGTACACACGACTTTACCGTGCGTAGAAGTGTTGGCTGTTGCTGAGTTAGTCTTTAGTGAGATGGTGACATACGCGATACGTTGACACATAATTCGAGGCGCATGTACGTAGGGGGCTAGTCGGGTCACTTGGACCGCTTCGCCGCTTGCGCGCGCAAAGTCACTTCACAGTTCACACACTCTTGGCTGGTGGCGCTTCACAATGGAGATTGGAGTTGCAGTTGGGGCTTGGCCGCACACATTTTTCTTTTTTAGTTTTTTATGAAAGCCGTAACATGAGTCATGACAGACCGGACAGGGGCATGCATGTGTACGATGTATGGGGTTGGCTATATAAGTATATCCGCAGACCGTTTTGAGGAGTGTCTCCTTCGCAGATTTCGCGCCAGCGAGGGCGGTCCAAGCTTGCCAGCCCCCATGCGCAGTGGTCATGACACATGCCGTCTCATGGACTGCTCTCATGCAAAGGTGGTCATCCACACCTGCGGCGCAAGCTTCTCCAGCGCCTTGGCCACCGCCGCCTGCGACTCGGCCGTCGGCGTGAGGGCGAGCATCAGCCCGCCGCGGCCGGTGCCGCTCATCTTGGCGCCAACCGCCCCCGCGCCGCGCGCCGCAACCACGAGGTCGTCGAGCTCCTTGCAGCTCACCGTCAGCTCTTGGCACAGCGCGTGGTTCTCGTCGAGCAGCCTGCCGAGCGCCGCCATGTCGCCCGCGTCCAGCGCCGCCTCGCCCTCTGCCGCGAGCGCCGTGTACCTACAGAAGTGGGGGCGAACAGGCTCCCCGCAGGCAGAGCCTCGCCGCCAGCCGCGAGCGCCACTCTCCTCGCAAGCAGGCTGCCGAACCACGCCTCGTCCGCCTCCTTCTTGGCCTTGACGTCGCCAACCACCTGCGGGGCGGAGGAGAGAACCGCGCCGTTCGACGGCGGAGCGTGCAGTTCTGACGAGCTTGGCGACATCTCGGACGATCTCTCGCCTTGGTCGTCGAGGCGGTGATGCCCGTGGAGGCGTACACGATGCGGATCGGGCCGGCGAGCTTCTTCATCGTGAAGAGCGGCGCGCCTGACTCATACACGGCTAGCTGTGAGGAACCAACTCAGCGAGCTCCTTCGCCGCGAAACGCGGCGCACCGTCCGTACGCTGGAAGCGCAGCACGCCGCCGTACGTGGCCGCCGTGTTGTCCACCCCCGACGGCGTGCCGTGGTACCCCTTCTCGCCCTCGTACCTACGGGCGATCTCGGGTAAGCTCGCCTAATCTCGGGCACCTCCCCCGACGCGGCTGTGAGGCTTGGTAAGATCTATCCCTTTGGCGGTTACGGCGAGTACGGCGGTCGCATCTCGCCCGCGCACCCTGCGGCGTTGACCTCCTCCTCGCTCAGCGTGCGCGGCAGCGCCGCACTGAGCGCGCGGGCGAGTGACACCACCTGCGCCGCCGACGCGCCGATGCCAGAGACGGCGGTGAGGCTTCCTCCAAAGGTGATCTTCGCGCCGCGCTTCTCCGTGTCGACGCCGAGGTGCGACAGCACAATCTTGACCGCCTCCTCTCCCTCGGCGGCCTTCTCAACCTTGTAGCCCGGCACCGCCGGCCGCAGATCAACCACCTCGATGCCCGGCGCGCCGGTGAACTCGACGTCGCAATCCGTGTACGCGGCGACTGCGCCGACCAGCGCGGGCGCTTTGTACACCACAAAGTGCTCGCCGAAGAGAATGAGCTTCCCGAATGCACGCGTGCGCTTCAGGCACGCCGCGCCGATTCGCTCTTGCCGGACGCGCTGCGCGCTCTCCTCCTGCCGCGCGGAGAGGTCGCGTGTCACCTCCTGCGCGTGGTCGGCGGAGGCGTACTCGCTCATGGAGCTTGTAGTCGGCGCCGGCACCGCAAACAACTCTCGCAGACACAGGCTCGACCAGCTGGGCTCAACCAGGGCTCAACAGGGCTCCGGGCGGGCGGGGTGGGTGTGGCACATGGGGGGGGGGGGGGGGGGGTCGGTCGAGGCTTTAGATGTGGCAGGGGGGGTAGAGCACGGCCGCTCCAGGGTCCCACCTCCCACCTGCACGAGCAGGATTTTGGATTTTGGAAGGACGATCAGGGGCACAGGTGTAAACACACTGAAGGATCGAAGAGCCGCACTTGCATCTTGCTTGCTTCCGGCCTTCTGGAAAAAGCAAGGGTTGCGTTAGGGTTAGGGATTAGGGGGTTAGGGTTAGGGTTTGTTGTCGTCGCGCCGCTCTCGCTCGATACAGAGACACGGAAAGCAGACGTGACCCAAGGTGAGGCGACTATTTGAGAGAGAGAGACTATTTGTCATCGCTCATCGGGAGAGCTCGCCGCCGACTCTACGCCGCCGCCGCCGCCCTCCCGAGGACAGATAATAGCCCTCAACAAGTCGACGAGTGTGTCCCGGCAAGACTCATGTGGGGTGCGAATGGAATCAGTTTTGTCCTCGTTTCCAAGGAGAAAGAGGAAAAGAAAAACACTTCTCGAGCCACGACGTAGCAACCAAGGTGACGCAGACGCACGCCCACAAAAGCCCACAGCGCCGCAGCCGCGCGGCGCGGCGAGGCGGGCAGGTCGGCGGGGACGCGCCGCTCGCCGACCGCGCGCCCGGCGGGCGACCGCCGCCCTGCACCAGGGGGGCGCCGGGGCACGGGAGGTCGGGAGCGCGGAGTCGCAAAACTTGCGTCCCCTGCGCTGCGCAGACCTCACCAGGGTCGGCGCGCCGCCGGCACGCGGGCTGCGCGCCTCCCGCCGTTCCGTCAGTTTTGGTCATTTGCCGACGCGAAGCGGTCGTTTTCCGATTTAAGTTTTACATACCGGCGTCCCCGTGCCCAACACGTCTCCCATGATGGTTCCGGCGTCGAAGTCCTGTGCTGCTGCTCCGAGTGTTCTCTCGTCCTCCGCGCCTCCCGAGACCAAGGCGCCGCCCTCGGGCACGGAGGTCGCGAATGACACGGCCACTGCTGCGCCTTCCCCGGCAGTCGTCTCGGTTGTCGCTATGGGTGCTGACCCCGTCACCCCGCCCGCCGCAAGCCGCAAGCGCAAGGCATCGTGCGAGGACGACTCAAGCGATGCCGGCACTGCCGACAAGGCCGCCCTGTTTGAGGTCCGCCCGCCTTCATAGCACGATGTCGCGTGCGCTCTCATTGCTGACAATCCCGACTGTGCCTCAGGACGTGGTGTCAGCTCTGAACTCGAATGAGGGTGGGATGTCCGCGTTCGAGTCGCTCCTTTCTGTTTACGAGATGGTGCGAGGCCAGCACAATCACGGCGCCTGCTCTCATCTCATCACACGTTTCCTCTGCCGTTTTCAGGAAAAGTCCACCATGAAGTCAGAGTACGAGAAGCAAAAGGACGCGCTCATCTCTGAGCGGGACACCGCGCTATTCGACGTCAACGTTGCGCAGGCGCGCTGCCAGTCGATTTCCACGCAGGTGGACGCGGCCCGGGCGCGGACGGGCGCGGCCGAGGCGCACATTCAGGCGATGAGCGAGGAGCAGGGAGGCATGCTCGCCAAGGCCCGATGGAGCGCGAGAAGGTCGAGCTCGAGAAGGCCCTCGCAATCGCCAAGAGCGACATCACGTACGTGCGTGTGTCGCAGCGCAAGGGATATCAGCCGCGCGACAAGGAGCGGGAGCTGGTCAACAAGGAGATGCGCTGGCTCATGTCTATCGCGAAGGACATCACCGACGAGGGCAAGTCGCGGCCGGTGCTCGCCAACTCGCTCTGGGCGGTCGTGGCTCGCTTCCAGTCGCTGCAGACTCGCGCCAAGGCCGAGCTCCTCGCGTCGGAGGCGCGCGGTGCGACCTCGGCCGTTGATCTTCGCTGAGCTCCGTGGTACGAGCGAGTGCGGTAGCGAGAGCGGGGCCTGGTGGGTCCACACTCGAGTTCGTGTACCTGTATCCGCCGATTTTTCCTTCCTTCAACAGAACAATAGTCTAACGGTGTTTATGTACAACACGCACACTCTCTGGTAAAGCTACTGAGCAGACGTCCAGGCAGCTATCGCTCGCGTCGCGCTGGTATTTGGCCGAGAGCATTTTATAGAGAGAGCCCAGGATTGTGCGGCGCCGACTCAGCCAGCCGGCATTGCGGAGGGAGACGCCCAGACACCATGCAGGTGCCAGCTGGGGTCAGCACGCACACAAAGGGCGTCTCTTTGAACCCGTTGTTGCTGTCCACGAGGGCGCCCAAAACGACCGCTGCAAACTACCCGTAAATCGGGAGATGACCGCACGACCACGTGGCGTCGGGAAATGACCGGTTTGGGGGGGATAAGGCTGATCCCCCCTGGGCGTCTTTCGGAAAACGACGGCTTCGACCACGTGGCGTCGGGAAATGACCGGTCAAGTGACCGGTCCAATATGAAATGACCGGTCCCAACGAGGGGCCGGAATCCGAGGTAGAGCACGGCCGCTCCAGGGTCCCACCTCCCACCTGCACGAGCAGGATTTTGGAAGGACGATCAGGGGCACAGGTGTAAACACACTGAAGGATCGAAGAGCCGCACTTGCATCTTGCTTGCTTCCGGCCTTCTGGAAAAAGCAAGGGTTGCGTTAGGGTTAGGGGATTAGGGGGTCGTTAGGGTTAGGGTTTGTTGTCGTCGCGCCGCTCTCGCTCGATACAGAGACACGGAAAGCAGACGTGACCCAAGCTGTGAGGCGACTATTTGAGAGAGAGAGACTATTTGTCATCGCTCATCGGGAGAGCTCGCCGCCGACTCTACGCCGCCGCCGCCGCCCTCCCGAGGACAGATAATAGCCCTCAACAAGTCGACGAGTGTGTCCCGGCAAGACTCATGTGGGGTGCGAATGGAATCAGTTTTGTCCTCGTTTCCAAGGAGAAAGAGGAAAAGAAAAACACTTCTCGAGCCACGACGTAGCAACCAAGGTGACGCAGACGCACGCCCACAAAAGCCCACAGCGCCGCAGCCGCGCGGCGCGGCGAGGCGGGCAGGTCGGCGGGGACGCGCCGCTCGCCGACCGCGCGCCCGGCGGGCGACCGCCGCCCTGCACCAGGGGGGCGCCGGGGCACGGGAGGTCGGGAGCGCGGAGTCGCAAAACTTGCGTCCCCTGCGCTGCGCAGACCTCACCAGGGTCGGCGCGCCGCCGGCACGCGGGCTGCGCGCCTCCCGCCGTTCCGTCGCGGCTGCCCGCCCCACGTCCCGAATCGCTCCCCCGTCCGCGCGCTATTCCGTCTGCCTGCGCGCGTCCTGGCCGTGTCGCAGAGCCCCGGCCTCTGACACCTCGCCCGCCCCCGCGCAGAAAGCACCACCCCTACCCGCAACCATGGCTGAGAAGGACCACATGTCCGTCGTGATCTGCGGCCACGTCGACTCCGGCAAGTCGACCACCACCGGCCGGCTGCTCTTCGAGATGGGCGGTATCCCCGAGCGTGAGATGGAGAAGCTCAAGGCCGAGGCGGACCGCCTGGGCAAGTCGTCCTTCGCCTTCGCCTTCTACATGGACCGCCAAAAGGAGGAGCGCGAGCGCGGCGTGACCATCTCGTGCACCACCAAGGAGTTCTTCACCGACAAGTGGCACTACACCATCATCGACGCGCCGGGCCACCGCGACTTCATCAAGAACATGATCTCCGGCGCGGCGCAGGCCGACGTGGCGCTCCTCATGGTGCCCGCCGACGGCAACTTCACCACCGCCATCCAGA